TTCATAAACCTTCCCTGGGGTCACGTGAGGTCCCACAAAAAATTTGAGCCCGATCGGTTCAGCCGTTTTGACTTTTATTGGATACAAACAAACAAACAGACAGACAAGCCAAATAAATTTATAGATTATATTATAAAATTAAGAGAGCTTGGTGAATCTTTCGCTCTGAAACGTTAATTTTTAACCGTTTTGAAAAGATGTTAATTTGTAAAATAAAATGTTGCCCAACTTTAGATACGAATTTTATTTTAACTAAAGCTTAAACCTAAACCATAATTTTGATTTTAACTCAATATCTTGCTTTGCTATCTCGACCTTATAATGCTCGAGGTTAAAATGCAAGTTATTTCAGAGGTGTACGCATCTTTTGTACTGCAGTGTACTGTCTCTGGGCGGCAATGTAAACACAAGACGGATGTCGAAGTCAGACATGGGATCCATCTTTTACATAAAAAATCAATGAAATATGCTGATCATAGGAAACTATTATGTAAATTATCAAAATTATACATCTATTCTTGTTTACAAATTCCGCCCTAAGAGAGCTGGTTTCAATATGTACGCAACTGCAATTAACTTTCCTTCTATCATAACCTTGATAGTGCAGATCTTTGAAGGTTTGTTTTTATCATTTTTAAAGAGGAAAAGAGAAAAACAATAAAAACAATTCCGAAGAAATTAAAAGTAAATAAAGAAACATTTTACAATTCTGAAGAATTTAACTTGGATAAACAAACAATGAAAAAAAAGGGATTTGTGCAGAATTATTTTTTATCTTTATTCGGTCAATGATAGAATGCTTTAATATTTATTTTTTACTAAACAATGTAAAGAAACTAAAAAATATTATAATATAGCTAGTAGCCACTGCCTGCATGTACAGGGAAATTATAGACTGAAATGAACAAATAAAAAGAATGATCTGAGAAACGATCTGAGAATATTTTGATCGATACGGATTGTTACTTTCTCTTTAAAATTACTTCATTTTTATTTCCCATTCTTATAAAAAACATTTTGTGCTTTTGTATTATGCATTACAATTTGTTAATCTCTTCAAAAAAAATGTATGCATAGAACTCAGAAGGGGGCCAGCCAGTTGAAACAACCAGAATTGGGTAGTCCTGGATATGATTATTAATCATTTAGTTATAAATTTTAAATCTAATGTATGTATTGTACTGTAAAAATGATTTTGACTAAGATATATATCTATCCATCTATTTAAATAATGCTTCCACTTTTAGATATTTTTTGGGAAATATTTTTCAAATTAAAACGTTCAGTAAAGGATTCGTGGAAAAATGTGTAAAAAGTAAAATTAACAACCACACTACTTGGCTTTTCTATAAAATAGACAATGTAAAATGACAAATATAAGAAGTTTAGAGTTTGAGTTGAGTGTTCAGTTAGTGTTGTATTTCTCGTCCATCCATACTTTTTCAGATATATTTAGTTTTCATGAAGAAAATTTCGTGGAAAAGTTTAAATTAAAAAACTTTTGGACAAACTATTCTGATTAATCAACTTCCGATACTAAACTTGGAGCTCTCTTTACGGTTCCAGATCTACTGGTTCCGAGGAGACCAAGATAGATAGATTGATAGATAGATGGATAGAGAGATTGCCGGCCAGAAGCATGAGAGAGATGGATTTATAACTAGGTAGGTATGGTTAGATAACTAACATCTTACATTTATTCATTATGAAATTCTTCAGAATTTTTGTGTCGCTTCGGTCCAGGTCAGTACATATATTTTAAAATTAGGTTAATATTTTTTGAGATCAACTTTATATATTTCGAGATCAGGTCAAGATATTTTAAAATCATGTTAATACATTAGAGATTCTGGTCAATCACAACTCTGAAGGCGGGAGAGAGAGAGATCAAGAAAAAAAGTTGCAATTCATGGGCGTTTGAGGAAGACCATCTCCTTGCTAGTTCGCGTTTTTCTATGGTTTGTTGACAGTGCAGACATAATCTTATAAATTTACCTCGTCCTGCAGCTCATACATTTACAAGTGGTGGGGGAGTGTGCACTGTGCATCATTTCACTTTAATAATGACGAAGGGTTGAAAATTAAAAATTAATATTTGCATTTCTTATTTATTTTCTCATCTTTTCACCATTATCATTAGTGCAAATTTCCGAGAAATAGAGCCAGGGGTTCTTTTTTAAGAAACGACCGTTTTCTCATTTCTCTGAACGATCCAAATCTTTCGTCAATTGTTCATACATCGTTCGTTTTTTTCTGAACGACGCCATACTCATAAGCTTTAACAATATAAAACCTACTATCGATAATGAAAATCTGATTTACATATCCTAGGATTTGACAGCTGAAGCTGGGACCGAATAACACGAATTAGAGGGGTAGCTAAACTCAATTTAATCTTTATGAATCTTTTTGAATCTGCGATTCAGATTTTAAACGGCAGTATGTAGTTCAGCGACCTAGCTTAAATTCGTTTAATTTAGTTCCTGGACAAGATAAGTTTAACTTATTCTATCAGTAATCCAATCTTTGAAGTTAAAACAAATGTCAATATAAGCATCTTATAAGAGAAAAACTTAGTTATATGAAAAACATGATCGAAAACGTGTTGTCTGAATTCTGAGACCCATACACGCAACGTAACACAACACTGCTACTTAACAACTACCAAAATAGAGTGTATATGTAATCCAGCAAGAAAAAATTTATAATAGCGAATTCTTTGAAGATATGAACACTTCTAGTTCTAAGTACACTTACAGAAAAGAATCTTTAATTTCTTACCAGTAAATCAGTTAATACTACCTTCTTAAAGTTTTTGGAATTTATTGTGAACTTAAAAATTAAGTTGGGAAATAATTTATTTTGTACATGGCTCTCATATGTAACACATGCATATAATTAGTAATGTGGCCGCAGCGCTCGGTCCAGAACCAGAAATTGTCTTAACTTAACCTTACCCTAAAATAATAAAGAATAAATAATAATAATTTTGCTGAAAAAATAGTGGTCATGTACAAAATTGATAGGATGGGGGGGGGGGGGCAAAAATCGTTCTCTAGAACAGACCCTAATATTCCATTACCAGAAAGTCATAAACGTTGATTTTTAAAAAGAATAAAAATTGACAATCGTTTCCGAACTCCACACTTTTTCGGTAAGTCTTTAAACTTAATGATAATCCCTATCTTGTTGTGAACTTATCTTGAATTTTAAAGACCATTTTTTCGTCCGTGAACGCCGATTTTTATTAAATTACGGCTCAGTTCCAATGTCGTGGATATTTCAAACTATGGATTCTGTTGATCAAATAATCTTTGTTTGAAATCAATAAGGTTTACACCATCAGGTGGCAAAGATTTGAGTTCGTTGCAAAAACTCAATTCTTAATTGAATACATTTCTTAGAAAAATCAAAAAGAAAATGTTTCCCCTGACCACAAAATAGATCTCTTATTTTATTCTTGATATTATTTGAAATTAATATTTTGTTTTAATCATATTTATTACAATAAGAGAAGTTAAAATTTCTACATATTTACTTACAGATTCACTAGAATGTCAAGGATTAAGAGAACTTAAATTATAATAATAAAATCATACTGGTTGCTGGGTTCCCCAATATATATTGCAGTTAGGAATACGATTTCATTTTTATTAAATATCAGATTTTACTAAGTATTTAAAAATAATATTGCGAGTTGGGAAAAATAATAAATAATAAAAATTAGATTTGGTACAGCTAAGAATCAGATCTGTTATGTTTTTGAGAACTTCAGATCAAAAATAATTTTGGGAATCAGATCTAAGTATTATCTAAACTTTTGTTTTCGGTTTGGAATCAAATTGCTTGGAGGAAGGTTTTAATGCAGTTGTGAATCTGACCCTTCCTTCAATATTAATAAAAATAACATAATAAAGGGTGGTTTATGAAATGGTTATGAGGTTCAATTTGTTAAAGGATAAAAAATTAATAAATGCAAACTGCATATTTTCACAACAGTTATTACGTTTACATTTTCTAGATTTGAAATAGTTTATAGACTGTACACTGTACTATAATAATTAGGGAGAAGATAGCAAACTTTTCAGTGCAAAGTACATAAACACACGTACAACATGGTAACTCAAGTTTAACAGTACGGTTATAAATGGGAAATGATGCTAAGGTACATAATATTGAGAACATGTGAACTGTACAGTGTACAGTGTACACAGTACAACGTAACAAAAAAATTACAATGCAAGATTTGAGCGATAACTGAGAAAAGTAAATGAAGAACACGTTTCCTGAGATTTCTTGTATATTTATTTTGTAAAATTGGTAGTCATAAATATTGTTACAATTCAAAGGAATTGAGTTTTTGCCACAAACTTAAATTTTCTCACCCCTATATCTTTGCAACCTGATGGTGTAAACCTTTGATATTTCAAACTTAGACTATTTGATCTACCAGAATTAATAGTTTGAAATATAAAAGGAAAACGGGTTGCTAAGTTATTAGAATTAGAAAATCTAAGTTTGTGGCAAAAAATCAATTCCTTTATACTAACTTTTGAACCAATAAGATTTAATAAATTGTAAATATCTGAACTCTGCTTTGATTCTCCCCATTTCTACAAAAGAAAGATGTTTAAACATTTCATACAAAGATTTATGTACAATTCGTATAGAGCAACAACAATAATTTAACCAAATTTTGATTTTTATTGTTTAAAAAAAAGTCATTTAAAGTGATTTATCGTATTTTGTTTAGTAATTATACTGCAAATCATAGATAATAGAAACAAAGATTTTTAATATAAAAAATTAACAAACAAACGTGAAAAGTATAATTACAGTTTACATTAATGTAAAAACTAATTCAATTATGTCTTCAAATTTACACATTTTTCGCCCAAAACAGTGTCAGAATTAAAGGATTTTGTAATGATCTGTGTCTATGGAAACCTGGGTTGTGATGAATTCTACTGTAGGAACAATGAATTGTGATCAACTTTTCTTTATGGAAACCTCGCTTTGATTTCATTACAAACATCTGCTATTTTTGCTCCAGCAACCCCTGGAGAGGATTCAACAGTACTTTCCTAAATTTATAAGATCATAAAAATCTTTCATAATATTTGACAATGATAATGATGATGAATGATGATGCAGCTAGGAGTATATTTTTTTGGGGGTTGGATGGGAAGGGGAAATATTTTTTTATGCTCTGGAGGAAATTAAAAATGGCTAGCTTTTTCATCCTTTTTAATACTTTTTATCCAAAAATTCATTTCCTTAATTCAGCGCATATAACCTTAGAACAAATTTTGCACTCACGCGATATTAACACCCATTTGATGAATAATAATAATAATACCTTTTCTGAACTTGGTGAAAATTGTTTTGATAAAGGTTCAGTCTCAGACATGGTGGAGTCCACTGAGATCTTACGGACCCTGATAAATACACATAATTGGAAATATACATATTCAGAAAAATCCACACTGTAAATTTCTCTCAAAAATATATAAGTTTAAATATAAGTTTGAAACACCTAAACTTTAAAAGAAAATAAAGTTCAAGATATCCATCAAAAAAAATAAAAGTTTCTGAGGATCAACTTCCTCGCAGAACTGTAACTTTTAAAAACATTTTTCTTTTACCATTCAAAAAGTAAAAATAAAATTCAACCCTCTCATAACAATCTTCCCTCTATTACTTCAGGAACGTTTTTAAAGGGTTTTTACTCTTGCTTTATTGGAAGAAAATAATTGAGGGGATTCTTCAAAATACATACCCCTGAAACATTATGCAAGAAATATTTTGTCAATTATTTGTTTGCGCTGCAGCTAGAGTGAGAGCTACGTGGTCAAAATTACTGTGGACCTAGTGATGCAGCTAGGAGAGGGCAGTAAAGATCTTAAATTTCACTAATTAGTAATATTTATATTATTCATAAATTGATACAAAACAGAGGCAGATTTATATTTTTGCTACCTCCTCTTGAAGAGTGAGGTGTGGGGTGAGGTTTTATTCCATAAATTCATTAAAATAAATATTTTTTTTGGGTAAAAACCTTTGCCAGTTCATTTTCAATTTTTAATTTTTCTCCCTGATTATTGATACTCTGGTACAGGTAAATAGAGACAACCGCAAATAACAAATAAAATAAAGTTTATTTTAAAAAAGAGATAAACTAAATCTTTTTTGCTTGTTTTTACCAGAGCTGAGATTTTAAACTCGAGTAAAACTCGGTCTTAGCGTTTACTTAGACACAAAAGTAAAACTCAATTCAAGACTGTGGTTTTGGATGGCCTTATGTTTATTAAAAACCAACAACTTTGGGTTTTTTGCTCTTAAAGGTTTGGGTCTTCAGCAGCTGATGATCGTAAATATCGTAAAACCTACTATATTAGTACATTCAAAATTTTGGGATTTTTTGTAGTGTCAAATTTGATCAAAGGTACAATATAAACATATCATGAAATAGTGTGTCTACGAAAGTTTGAATTCTTATAATACATCTCCTTGTCACAGCTGATCTGTCTGCTCCAGACAAAAACTTTCTAAGCAGTTTCTCATTGATATGATCAGAACCAATCCTGACTTGTGTTTTACCTGCGCTCGAGTCATTTAATAGGCTGGTAAAAATTTTTTAATCACATCTGAAATCTGATTTTTAATGGTCTACTATATAAAAAAACACATGCAAATAAGAAGAACTTGTCATAAAATGATTAAATATTGAAAAATAATGTAACCATATAGTACAATGAGTCCCAGAAAGCATGCATGAAAATATTGGCGACCTTCCAAATTTTAATGCGATGTTATATTTTTATAAAATATATGAAATAAATTCAAATTCTTCTCAGAATTGAATCCAATTAAATTAAAGGTTTAAATATCAATCTGATCTCTAGATATTTTATTAACTATTTAAATTTTGTATTTCTAAATATTCTAAAGAATATGTTCATATTCTAAATTTTGAAGAGCTGGATAATATACATTAAATTTTGTATTTCTAAGTATTCTAAAGAATATGTTCTTATTCTAAATTTTGAAGAGCTGGATAATATACAGTTTTAAAAATATTTTCAAGTATTTCAGTTACAGTAGAAATTTCTACCTGGACCAACCTTAAAATCAACAAATTTTATTTCCAACTCTTCAGATGTGTAAATTGTTTAATAAAGAATATACTCTACCACAGGTGCTTATGCTTTAAAATCTGGCACCCTTGAGATCCGAATTAAATTGGAGAAACATTAAAAACAATAAGAGAAAAATATGTTAAACAGAGAAACCTAAAATCTCCAAGTGACAAAATTTTCTATTTCTATTCATCTAGTGTTTTTGCAATAATATACCAATACTGCGGTATATGCGAAACTTAAGGATTTATCTTAGAACAATTTTTATCATTTTTTCATTCTAACGTTCTAAAGAAATAAATATTTAGAATGGAAGCTACACCATTAATCCCTTGTCTGTAAGCGAGTATCAAAATAAACCCCCTATTTTTGTGTGTACATGTAGCATATTCAGAGAGAAAACTGAAATTTTGTTGAGAAGTTTGGAGTGGAGTTCGTTTAAACTTTGTGGTTAAATTTCTAAGTACTTGAATAGGGATCAAACATAACATCAATATAGGTTCATAGAAATTGTGGAGGACAAAATTTCGAAAACAGGTAAATAAAAGGATTCGCCGGAAACCAGCTAATAAATGTTCTATTTTTATTCTCTTAAAGGTGTACAAATTAAAGAACATTAACTAAATTAACACTGTAGAGTATGGGCGATCTTCTATTTTTAGGTCATAGGAAAAAGTAATTTTTTGTTGCTTTATTTTCTGAGAAATATAGATAGTATCCCAGTACCCAAAGCCGGGTACATTTATATCAATTAAAGGGGTTAAAATCTAAAAAACAAACATTTTTTCCCCTTTCCTTCTTTGAAAATATTTCCCAATAATAATATGAACCCGCAAAAATCTTTTTGAGTGTGTTTTTACACAAAGGTCATCTCATATTTGTCAACTTGTGTCTGTTCACCCCCCATCCTGGGATTGGATAAAGTGTATACCCCTCCTTAATAAATAACCGCAGTGGTGCAGACATTTCTATATAAATAACATGTTTTCAACGACAAAGAAAAGTTGGCTAGAGCAACATGTAATTATTTTTTCAATTAAAAATGAAAGAAAAGTAAAGAATGAAGAAGACTCCTGAAAAGAACTCATTAATTAAGTAAACGGAAGCCTTCATTCTAACTAGAGAGATTATTTATTTATTTTTTCGGTTTTTGATCGAAAAAGTTTTATTCATTTTTTGTAAAGTTTTCTAAATTCGTTTTCTCAGTACCTTACTAGCTTATCGAAACTTATGGTTTTGTGTGAATAAAAAATATTTGATTTGAGGTAATATTTCAATTGTGAATTGAGAATCAACGAAAAAAAATAAAGAGGGAAGATGCGATGGCAAAAGAAATTTAAATTGATTAATTGATAAATAAGATATAAGGGAAGTTTTGCCAATCTCCACTTTGCTAGCATTTCAGAATTTGTGAACAAAACAATTTTTCTAGTTTATGTTGGTTAATTTGGCAATTTGAATCCGGACCAAGAGAACAAAAATGTCGTTGATTCCAGTGGATTTTAATCATTAGGCAAAATTAAAAAGGCATTTGGGAGTATGAGGAAAGAGGTATAACATGTAAAAAAGGAAGTGGAAGCGGAAAGATATTAGATTTGGACCATTGATGTAAAGTTTTATTAAAGTTTGCAGAAATTATACCAAACCATCACGTAAAGTAAATTGAAAGTGGAGGGTTATAAGAACATTTAATTGAACAGTGGAAATCATTTAGAGGTCTGACACAATAGAAAACTTTCAGAAAAATTTCAGTTTTCTTCTTTTCTTGCCTTTTAGATAGAGTTCTAGGGTCGGTTGGTACTAGAGAAGATCCCTCCCATTTGAAGAGATATGGACCACTAGACAATACATTTATCAGTCAAACAGATATAAAATCATTTTAACCTCGCTGATGATTTAAACACTGTGAATACAGCAGGTTTCAGTAAGCATATCATTCCAACGAATTGAAGTAAAGAAAAGAAGTTAGCGTCTAAAGTTTGCTGTACGCATCTTAAGAATCTTAACAAATATTGTTTTTGTTTTTTTAACTCCTGGGCCTATCTACCTCTAGATACAATTTTTTACACAAAAACCTACGTAAATTTAATGAGCCTCGACATAAACCGAAAAACCTCTATATCCCGTGCTATCGATTCGGCTAGTGTATACTGCAGCCTGCAGGTCACTGAAGTAAGAACCAAAGCTTAGTTTTGGGATAGCGTTTCCCACTCCTAAACCTATATATACGGAGTCTCCAACTCCTGAACCTATATATACTGAGTCTCCAACTCCTGAACCTATATATATACGGAGTCTCCAACTCCTGAACCTATATATACTGAGTGTCTCACTCCTAAACCTATATATACGGAGTCTCCAACTCCTGAACCTATATATATATATACTGAGTGTCTCACTCCTAAACCTATATTTTCAGAGTTCCCTAATCTCAAACATTTTATACTCCTACATAAACTAATTACCTACTCCTAACCTGTGTAGAGTTCCCAACTCCTTAAACTATATAACAAAGCTTCCTACTTCTAAACCTGGAAATGGATTTCCCTAATCTTTAACCTATTTTGAGAGTCTCCTACCCCAAAACCTATAAACAGAGTTTTCCACTCATAAACCTATAAACAAAGCGTCCTATTCTTAAAAAGAATTTCCTTTTCCTAAACCTATATGTTCAATGTAAATTGTACAGGGTGTCCCAAAAAACATGGGAATTCAGTGACGAATTCGATATCGTCTTTGTTTTGAATTAGCATTGTAATACCTAATTTCAAAAGCACTACTCTTAAACCTACATATAAAGTGTTTCCCACTCCTAAACCTATATACAGAGTTGTCTACTCATACTATTGTCCCTACCTGGAGTCTGGTAGATCTTGATCCTGTTGAGGAACTCTAGAATAGGATTCATTCCCCATCCCACTACTCTCCTCCCTAAACAAAACAAGAATACAATAGTTACAAAAAGTGGAATAATCAAAACGAAACAAATAGCTTACAAGGAGTGACCAGCGTTGACCTGAAAGAGTTTCATTTTAGAATAAAATTTTAGTATTTTAGTATATGCTGTTACGTTGTCCGTTCGCTGCTTAGAAGCAATATGAATCGTTTCCATCATTTATGTATCTGATTAAAGTTTAGATCTATTTTTGTGATGGTAGTGTATGTATGTATGAATGTAAAAATTAAATTAAATATACCTCTCACTAGAGCTGTCTTCACTGCAGCTGGAATCATGATGGCGCAGCTGTTCACCTAGCTGTTCGCCAAGCTGTCCAAGCTGTTCTTCCAGCTGTTGTATCTGTTCCGAGTTCCTCAAGTTTCGTGTTCCGCCGCTAAAATGATCCCGTCGCGACCTTGCGTCTCGTTCCTTTATAAAATGATCTTTTAATCATGATCAAATCAAGAAAAAATACAAATTTAAAAACTTTAAATTTTTAAATATTTAATTGATATTTTTTTAAATAGTTTTTAACTCTTCAAAAAAGGGAAACAGTTGTTTCTATATTCTTAATTTTATTTGTTTCTAAAACTTAATGCTAAATGTATAATACCTTGGAATGGTTCCTAGAGTCCATGATAACCCCTGAGTCAGGTGTTATATCCTTCCCTAGTACCCCCGAGGGTTCGGTATATTGCTGAAAAGAAAATAGATTTATATCTTCTATAAAAACAAGCAAATCTATATTTTCCTATTCCTGCAACATGCACGTAAAATCAAGATCAATTTATTGTCTAAACACTGTAAAATCAGGAGGTAGAGGGCTAGCGAATTTCAACTATATATACCCCTGAAACCAAATGTTTGTTTAGGTTAAAAGGATAAACATGTTTTTAATGAAAAACCGATAACGTTGAAGGGATATAAATTTTAAATTTTTCTCTGTTTATACCTTAAGAATATATATCTCTAGTAATATATTCCTGGTAGATAGTATGCTGCAAGCTAATATATCCCTGATAGCTAGTGTACTGCAAGGTTATATATATCCTTGGTAGCTGCAGTACTGCAAGGTTATAGCTGATAGCTAGTGTAGTGCAGGGTAATACATATCCCTGGGAGCTAGTGTACTGCAGGATAATATATATCCCTTATAGCTGGTGTACTGCAGGGTAATACATATCCCTGGTAGCTGGTGTACTGCAGGGTAATATATATCCCTGGTAGCTGGTGTACTGCAGGGTAATATATATCCCTGGTAGCTGGTGTACTGCAGGTTAAAATATATTCCTTATAGCTGGTGTACTGCAGGTTAATATATATCCCTTATAGCTGTTGTACTGTAGGGTAATATATATCCCTGGTAGCTGGTGTACTGCAGGGTAATATATATCCCTGGTAGCTGGTGTACTGCAGGGTAATATATATCCCTTATAGCTGGTGTACTGCAGGTTAATATATATCCCTTATAGCTGGTGTACTGCAGGTTAATATATATCGCTGGTAGCTGGTGTCCTGACTCCTGCACCAACCTGTTTGAGCATAGCAGCGTATTCCAGAGGGGAAATGAGATGTAGATTCTTGATATCCCTGTCATAGCTGAAGAGGCTTGAGAGTTCAGAATCTATCTCACTCTCCATGCCCTGCATAACGATCACGATCACGATCACAAGCACAATTACAAACAAGTAAAGCAAAATTACATTTCAGGGAAAAGTTTCTTTAGGGCATGCACTCAAAATTCATACTAATTCTCTTTGATAAAAGCTAGTTGTCATATGCAATTAATCTTTTTCATCTTATTTTTAAGTCAATTTTAAACTGATTTATAAATCGAGAAAATACTTTTTCATTTTTATTTCAAAATGTTTTTCTTTCTAGTACGAAAAATGTTGTCTCAGTCTTTAAAATGAAAATAAAAATATTCCCCTTATTTTAAAGTCTTGTTAACACAAAAATTTTTTTTTCTTTCCTCATTATCGAATTTTATAAATCTAGAATGTGCAAGTTTGCATGCCAAAAAAACTTGTTTATTGCACATTGGCTAATTTCTCATGAAATAAATCAAATTAAAAAAAACTGATACTGGTGTTCACTCCACCCCCCATCCCCTTTCATATTTAGTTCCTGGAAATTAATGTTTATCCTTCAGACGAACTAATTGAGAAAAGTTTTGAAAGAGTTCCAGTGAAACCATCATCATACATAAGACGAAGATTAAATGCAAAACTGTTTCCAAAAATAAGTAAATTCTAAAACTTATTAATTGGAACGTGTTGTAACTTAGAGCACACCAAAATAAATAAATCTTTACCAAAATGTAAGAAAATCATACCCAGTCTAACAAACTTTTGACCATATCTTATCTATATGTATAAAACTGTAATCTCTGTTTGGTGTTTGTTTGTTTGTTTGTCCGATCATAACACAGGAAATCCTGGACGGATTTGCCTCAAATGTTGATTGTGAAACTCGGGAGAGCGACGGGAAGGTTCTTAGCGGGTTTAAATTTTTCAGCAACTATTCAGCTTTCAACCGCTGGTTTTAAGTTTTTTCAGCAACTTTTTTTTTCAACTGCTAGGTTTAAGATTTTTCGGCAAATTTTTAGCTTTCAACCGCTGGGTTTAAGATGTTCAAAAATTTTTTGCTTTCATTCGATGAAAAAAAATTTTTTCTTAAGATTTGAAAGCGGTTAAAAGAAAAAAAGTTGCTGAAAAACTTAAAACTAGCGGTTGAAAGCTAAAACGTTGCTGAAAAATTTTAAACCCAGCGGGAGAAGGAAAAAAATTATTTCAAATCTTAAACCCAGCAGTATTTTAAGAAAAACTTTTTTCCATTGATTGAAAGCGAACATTTGTTGAACATCTTAAACCCAGCGGTTGAAAGAAAAAAGGTACAGAAAAAAATAAAACCAGTAGTTGAAAGCTAAACAGCTGCTACAAAATCTTAGACCTAGCGGTTGAAAGAAAAAAGTTGCTGAAAAAAAAAACTTAAAACCAGCGGTTGAAAGAAAATAAATTATTCAAATCTTAAACCCAGCAGTATTTTGAGAAAAACTTTGTTCCATTAATTAAAAGCAAAAAGTTGTTGAAAAATCTAAAACCCAGCGATTGAAAGCAAAAAACTGTTTAATCTCTGGGGTTAAACTAATTAAAAAGTTTTAAGAAGTGGATAAAAATGTAAACGAAAAAAGTACGAATTTAGCTGTTGAACAAAGCTAAAATTTAAGAAAAAAAGGTGCATTTCTTATTTTTAGACTGCGTAGATGCTAGGCTAGAACTCAACAACTCCCGCTGATTTTTTTTCTACTAAGTGTATTTCATTGTATATTGAATTAGAATCTATTTTTAGATAGTTTCTACTCCAGTTTTATTATTTCATGACAATTGTGCGAGTTTTCGCTAGATTCTTTTTGTGCAAGCCGAAAAAATGTAATATCATAATCAATCCGTAATCTTTCAATAAAACAACTATTTTCTTCATATTTTGATACTTTTTCAGGCTTTTCGTATGCTTAAATCATAGATGTTTCGTATGCTTAAAATACTAGAGAATTTTGAATCTGCAGATATCTTCTTTAATTTTCTCTTTCTTTTTTTGCATATGTTTTGCAATTTTACAAAGCGACTATATCAATTTTGTGTGAAATAGCATGCATTAAAATACAACTAAGCTAATGAGGTTTATTTGTTCCCTTAAAGTACATGTGACTTAGAGCTTGAAAATTACTTGAAGAATTTCTTACATAGGGATTTCAGTTTGAAACGAAATAATAATAATAATAATAATAATAATAATTTAGATTAACTACCTCATACTCATCAAACTGTTTATCATCATAAATATCATCTCTATACTGTGTAGGGTGGAAGGGTGGGCCTCCATTGTACTGTTCAGGCAGGTAGGGTTGAACTGCATATATTTGTCCAGACTGATCCTGGAAATAAAACAATATTTCTTATAAGTGCATCAACGCGAATGTATGTTTAATGTTTATGTTTTTAAAAAACTTTTAAATATATGTTTTGGCGGAATGCCAAAAAACGTTAGAAATTTTTCTCTTCTAATTAAGGGAAGTAAATAAAGTTTTGGTCGAAAAAGTGTCAAATGTTTTGATAATGTGTTTGTATTATAATAGTTGAATATAATAATAATATCCACCATTGACAGTTCCTCTGACAGGCTAAAGAAGTTATTTCTACAAACTCTAATTTTTAATCACAATATCTGAACATGTAATCCTTAGATATTTACTAGAAATTCTGCAAAATCTAAAAGTCATTACTAAGTTTCAAATATAAAGGTTTACACCATCAAGTTGCAAATATATAGGGATTGCCAAATTTGAGTTTGTGACAAGAACTAAATTTCTATGCCAAACAAGAACCGGATTATTCACTAATCAGTGTTTTGGATTCTGAGAAGTAAATGTTCATTTTTAGAGACACCACTCCGACGCATTCCTTTTTGGGGTTATATTATAATATCTACTGGGCCTATACCTGGAAGAGCTGGCTATCTGAGAATACAAGGTTAGGGTCTTGGTAGGAGGACTGCTGAGGGTAGGTGGGCTGACCCTGCCACGCCACTTTACCAGCCCGAGAAGCAGGAGGTGTACCTTGTACCTGAATTTTTTCTATATTTTGTAAACATAGAAAAATCAATTAATTTTTCAATAAACACTAATTATCAGCTTTTAAAATCCACCAAAACTAGTACAGTTAATTTTCAGAACACAAAATCATAATTTTCACTAGTTATTCTCTTTATATCGGAGTTAATTTTTGTCTTCAAAAAAATAGGGATCATACAGATACAGATACAGATACAGATACAAGGATTAACTGATTTATCCAAAGAAAATTTTATTTGACAACTAATTATCTGTCTCACCTCTCCTTGTAATCTACCATTAAACGGAAGACGACCATAAATTTCCCGACCGTTGGCATTTCCTTAAATAAGAATATATTCTAACAAAAAAATAATATTTTGTTTCAAGTTTGAAAAAATTTATTTCTGCCGACTTGTTTTTTTTTACGCAGGAACGCAAGAAAAATTAACATTGGAACTTTTCTAGAAAAAGAAACATTTTGAAAACTAATATAATGAAACTAAATAGCTAAAAACCGTGAAGAAGATTTAAAAAAAATAGTTTTAAAGGAACCTTGTGCAAACTCTCCTCCGCCATACAACATCTGCTCTCTATCTTGGGATATCTGACGTGCACGCGCCCTTTAATAAAAAAGCTTATTACAAATTATAAATTATGGAATAAATATTAAGAATAAAATTCAAACCGGAATTACAACCAACATCTTTGGAACATTAAAATTGCAGGGAATAGATATAATTTTCAGGAACCCTCACTTTGTATAGTGGAGTGTCCGATTCACAACAGTACCATTTAAACCGTTGACTTATCAAGGATGACTGACTTAGCCGTATGCAAGGACCTATAGCACACATCACGCATATACTCCAATTTGAACAACATTTTAGAGATACACGAACGTAGTTCTCTTCCGTTGATAATCAGTCAAAGGTTTAAATGGTTCCGTAAATCATGCATTTTCCTCTTTGCATGTGTGTACCTAGAAAACGCTACGTGGATTAAATTCTACCTCATAAAACGCTTCACTCATACATCGCTACCAGATAAAACGCTAGTAAAGAAACAAAAACGATACTCTTGTCATTTATATATTTGCATGTTTTTAAGTATTCTAACTAACCATGTCCAACCTCCCCCCTCCAGGCTCTGTAAACCTTTCCCTTTAACATTCAAGTTACAAAAATTTCAGTAACAATATATAAAAATTACAATTTATCATCAAACCTAATATTATGATATTTTGATAAAGTAGCGTTTTTTTCTTTACAAGCGTTTTATAAGATAGCGTTTAATGAGTGTAGCGTTTTTCTAGTATGGCCTTTTCATGGAGGGTTCCTTGAAATAACAACAGTCCCTCAAAGCCTGCTTACCATATGCTGAGTATTGTCTATTGAAGACTGAATATCAGAATCCTCATCTCTCCTCTTGGACCCTCGCCACGGAGGACTAGCCAAATTACCAGCAAGCCGGGCAGCCTGCAGCTCACCAGCTAACCGGTTACCCTAATAATAACAATAATAATAACAATAAAAATAATAATAATAATAATAATAATAATAAAAATAATAATAATAATAATAATAATAATAATAATAATAATAATAATAATAATAATAATGATAATAATAATAATAATAATAATAATAATAATAATAATAATAATAATAATAATAATAATAATAATAATAATAATAATAATAATAATAATAATAATAATAATAATAATAATAATAATAATAATAATAATAATAATAATAATAATAATAATAATAATAATAATAATAATAATAATAATAATAATAATAATAATAATAATAATAATAATAATAATAATAATAATAATAATAATAATAATAATAATAATAATNCCCAGCCCACCCCGTGCATATTTTATAAAAGTACTTTAATAATCTTAGTGAGAACACAGGGCAATATATTGACAGAAATGGATTTAATTTTCTTATTTTTTAGTGATTTCTAGAAAACAGAGGAATGCTTAGCATCTTTGAACCTACTTTAAAAAAAAATGTTATTAAGGATACTGTATTTCATACTCAATTTGTATCTAAAATTTACTTTCAACATTTATGAAGTATATCTGTTATTGAATTTAACAAAGGCAATGACAAATATTTCAACAAAATGTCCACTTGATAAAAAACAACGACCATTGACGAAAAAAGAGGGAAATGATTTATAGAAAGCAGATTTATCCCTGGCATAAAATGTAATCCTTTGTAAGCTTTTCTTTTGTTACATACTTCAATAAAATATATATTTTATTTCTTTTTTTCTCTTTCCAGAAATGCAAATATCAAATAAAATTCCTATTTCAATTGAATCTTTTCATCAACAATATTAAATTTTCTGGACCATTCATACAGTTGGAATTCGAACATTTTTATTTAATTTTATATTAAATTCACAGGGCACTGTTTAAAAATCATATAATTTTCACATCGTAAAGTTGATTCTCCATAACATAAATTGAAACAAAACTGATTGATATACATGTTAGTTTATCAATATGATTGAAATCAAGGGTCCATACTCCATACATGTCCTTGACGTTGACATGTCCCGGGATCTAACAAATATCCCAACCTCCTCAGGAAAGTCCTTGGACCTACCTGGGGTCCACGAATGTCCCAATCTCTACAAGTGTATTGCTTGGACCTACCTCGGGTCCATAAATGTCCTAACCTCTACAAGTGTTGATCCTGGACCTTCCTGGGGTCCATAAATGTCCTAACATCTACAAGTGTGGTCCCTGGACCTACCTCGGGTCCATAAATGTCCTAACCTCTACAAGTGTTGATCCTGGACCTTCCTGGGGTCGATAAATGTCCTAACATCTACAAGTGTGGTCCCTGGACTTACCTGGGGTCCATGAATGTCCCAACCTCAACAAGTGTGGTCCCTGGACTTACCTGGGGTCCATGAATGTCCCAAACTCTACAAGTGTGGTCCCTGGACTTACCTGGGGTCCATAAATATCCTAACATCTACAAGTGTGGTCCCTGGACTTACCTGGGGTCCATGAATGTCCCAACCTCTACAAGTGTGTTCCCCGGACCTACGGCCACCAATCTACCATCAGCTGTCTGAACTAGTTGTCCTGAACCAAGAAATAGTAAACTTGTAAATTTAGTTTTAAATTTTAAAGAATTTCTTGCTTGTAAACATTTTAGTTTCCTGGATCCAAGTGATAAAATTTCAACCAAAACGAAAGGAAAAAAAGTTGATCCAAAAACATACAAACGTATCACTTATTGATCTCAGGGATCATTAAAAACTTCCAAATCGTTGAAGGGAAAATCAAGATGAAATTCGTTTCTATTTAAAGAAATTATGTAAACTTTATGAAATATCTGATTTTCTTGGCATTTTCTGCTTGGCATCCATTATAATTTGATGCGGGTATTTAAGAAATGGATCCTACACAATAGAGTTAAGAAAAAATAATGCTCAAAGCGTCATCATGTTAATACCATTAACAAGCTGACCTGCAAGTAAACTTTGTTGGGCTGGATCCTCTCCTCTTCTTCCTCTCTTCTCTTTACTCCGTCTAGACAGGAAAATATATGTTTTCATTTTATTCTAAAGACAGGTGTGTATATTTTTCAGAATTACCCCCACCGGGGGGGAATGATTTTTGATGAATGAATCTTTCTTTTTGATAGTTTTTGCCCAAAAAATCATTTATTTTCCCAAATTCAGCGAAAAACCTCTAAAAACATATATAACTTTTTTTTAGAAAAAATGATTTTTTTTAAAGAGGGGGGAGGGAATGATTTTTAGGAAAATATTCATCCCTCTGTCCAAAAATAAAATTTTCCTCACAAACAAATGTGTTTAATTTGACATAAAATGATGAGATACATTAGCATAAAGTAAATTTTTACTCCTTTTAGCATTTTAATGCAGTTTAATGGGTCAATATCATTTAGTTTGACGTAAATATGACGTGAATAGATTCTGTAAGACAATTTTTATTTATAAACATAGAATAAATGTATTAAATTCGATGAATCATGACTTTTAACCCAGACCACGGACACGCAAAACGAATACTGGTGATTTGAGAAAGTGCTATGAAGGTTATTTAAATATTCTTGAGTTAATATTAGTTTAAATCAAATAAAATCGAATTAAATCAAAACTTTACTTATTTAATTTTTTTATAATCAATACCAAGGATATATTACTACAAAAATCGGAGTTTTTACATGCAGATAACGCCTGCAACCCCCTACCAAATCTCTGACTAAAACTAATTTACGACTAAGACCCAACAAAAACTCAACTATGACACGACTGAAATCCTAACTAGAACTCAAATAAGACACAGCTAAATACCCAATAAAATTCAACTAAGACACAAACTACCCGGCTCCGAAAAAATCCTCAACTAAGCACAACTACTATAACCCAACTAGAACTAAATTAAGCATGGCTAAAACACTCAACTGAACCCCAACTAAAACTCAACTAACACTCAACTAACACTTAACTGAACCTCAACTAACATTTAACTGAATCTCAACTAAATAAAACATAACAATAACTTAAATAAAACCCGAAAAAGGCAATTCAGCTAATGTCGGCGAGAATTTTTATTTAACGTCAATTTTAGAATTATTGATGTAATACAATTTTCTGACTGGATGTAAAATGAATTTTCCAGAAAATGTCAAAAACCGGAAATTCATTTATGCATTTCCTCTAAAGATACCCAGCGCTGCCAAGGTTACGAAAATTTTCTCCCGTCGTTTACCCGCAATTGAACGCTTTTACCGGGAAACTAAATTTTCGCTTTTAAAAACAACCCACTCAACTTAAAATCTCAAAACAAGGCTAAGAACATTCTCGTGGTTCTCCCAAGTCCTCAATCAAAATTTGAGACAATCGGTTAAGGGGTTCCCCAGTTATTATCGGACAAATAAACATACAGACATTCATTCTTGAAAATATTTTTAAATTTCAAAATTCCCCTTTTGAAGTATTTGCAAACCTGTAGAAATTAAAAATGAATGCTTTCTATAGAAAAAGATTTAATCTCTTTTTCTTAAATTTTCTTTTAGAATTTAATCTTAATATTTTAGATTTGATTGTGGGCTAGTGATAACGAATACATAAAACATACATGTAGATATATGTGATAAATGTGTGATTTTTTTTTACCTTTTAGTCACAGACTCAAGGACTTTTCTAGCAACTGATGTCGGTGTTCTAGCTCCAGGAGGTCTACACATTAATAATAACAATAACAATAAAAATAACAGTAACAGTAACAAGAACAATAACAATAACAATAACAATAACAATAATAATAATAATAATAATAATAATAATAAAAATAATCAATAATTATATGAAATATTAAAACCCCTCTAAAATTGTCATTAATTTCTCAATTCCATCGATCCATCTGTCCATATCTGATATAAAAGTGCAATGTCAATATGCTTTTTTTAAGCACACTGTTTTGCTGTTACTGGTTGTTATTCCGAATTACATTACCGAACTATGATTCCCCCAACAGAGGGAGATTAAGTTACTCAAAGTCCATTGGACAGTTATGTAAAATAACCACCCGCTCTGCAAAGTTTTCAGGAAAAAATTCACGCATTTTCTTCTCAAAAGACGATAAAATTGCATACAAATACTTTCAAGGGAGGTTAAGGGAATTTTTGTTTTGTAGACAAAATTGGTCTTGGAAACCCTTGGGAAAGTAAAATTCGCGTAACTTCCCTGTAAAGTAAAATAATTATTATCTTTAAATATTTTAGATTCACTGAAATAAAAAAATAACCTTGGGGGAAGATTGGAAGAGGTAGGAGGAGGAGCATCCCTCCCTAGAGATCTAGATCGTTGGATTGCTAGAGATGATGGACTAGATACATCCCTGAAATATGGACTAGATACATCCCTGAAATATGGACTAAGTACATCCCTTAAATATGGATATATCAAGTTCTAATCGTCAATTGTATTCCTTACACCCGCAATTCCAAACTAATATGAAAGATATTACTTGTCAATAATATTCCAATTAGCCGATGGTAATGGATATCTATATAATAAAACAAGACATATATATATATGAATTGTAACTGCTGAGGATCGTCATGATATACGTGAAACCTTATGTTTAGTATAATTCTTTTTTATAAAAAATGTGAAGTTAAAAAAGGAAATATATGTATATATATATATATGATAGACGTGAAACCTTATGTTTAGTATAATTCTTTTTTATAAAAAATGTGAAGTTAAAAAAGGAAATATATATATATATATATATATATATATATATATATATATATATATATATGTTGCCTATAGCCGGCCAAACGGCTGGACCGATTGGGCTGAAATTTTTTGTGAACACTCATGGGAGGCCGAAGAGTGTTATAGGCTGGAATTTTTTTTTCTCAAATTTTTTCCACGTGCAACGCCGGGCCTTTCAACTAGTATACTATTGATACGCAGTAATACAGAGGTATTTTTTGTTTCAGAATCCCTCCCCCCCCCCGGCCCCTCCCAGTAGTAAAAAAAAAATAAACAAACTCTCAGCTCTTTTTGATCCTTGGTATCAAACAATTTGACTTATTTTTCTCAAATCAGCGAATAAAATCCTAAACAAAATTTCGGGCTTCTCATATCGTCTGAAAAAAAATCCAAGAGGGGGGGGGGGTCAATCCATTAAAAACAAGTAGATACTCAGTTCCATTTAAACCTAATTTATTCTTATCTTTATTCTCTCCACCGAACTCTAGATTTATTATTTCTGCTAAATCATCTAGTGTACTTTTATGTTTCAATTAGAATCAAAACAAGATGTAAATGAATCAAACCCAGTTAATTAAAGAGAGCGTTCAATATTTGAGTGCCATCTACAATTGACACAGTAAAAAATAGATAAAGTTCTAACAATGAGGAAACAGTTTTATTGTTTATGCTACAATTAAACCCTTTGTTGACAAACTTTAACCGATGATAAACAATTTAATCGTTAATGAAGCACTTTTTAGTTAATCGTTCAAATCACGCATCATTCGTTGATGGCCACACTTTTATCCTTGATGTTAAACTTTAATCGTTTATGTCACAATGTAACACTTTAACCGGTGATATCATAGTTTTACGGTTTTTAACACATTTTATTTCTAAACATACAAAAATGTACGTTTACTCCTTTAATGATGGGTTTACCTCTGATTTCCCATAATCTGATCGTAAAGAGACTGTGAAGGATTGTTAGGAGATGGTGCTCCTTTCGGAGGAAGAGGAGAAGGGCCTAGCCTCGTCTCCCCACCTAGAACTCGCTGGGAGGGAAGAAGGGGACGAGGGGTCAGGGTTTCTTTATGACTAGATTTCTTCTGTCCTCGCGTGGAACCATAATAATAGAATCTAAATATATAGATAGATAGATATAGGCAAATGCATACAGATAATTGCCGACAAAATGTGTTATGTACGTTGGCCGCCTTTAGTATAATCAATCATATCGATAGGAAGATGATTATAATATACATATAGAGTTGTTCAAAGAATTTTGACTCCTGAGGATCGTCATGAGACGTGAAACATTATGTTTAGTATAATTCTTTTTTAATAAAATGTGAAGTTTAAAAATTGAAATACATCTCTTTATATATATGACTAAAATGTTGTAAAAGATTGTTATATTTCCACTTATTTCTAGATATTATATATATAACTATAAAGTAATCAACCAGATCAGTCTCAGTTTTTATATTTATTAATTGTTTATGTTTGCTTCTTTACAGTCAAAAAACATGGGTAATCATATATATTATATATCATATATATCATATATATATACATATATATTATATATATATATGTATATATCCTGAAGATTGCATAGCATAAACCACAATGTTGATACATGTTTTGAACAATATATACATGCGTAGATGAGAGAAAAATAAAATAGAAAACAGCATATTTATATGAGGGTTATCCTGAAAGCTTTATTCCATTGTATTTATCACATAGGAAAATATTTAATGACCAATTAAGCCGAAAAAAGTCATCCAATCAAAGAACTTCATTTTAATATACATTTTTTGAAGGAAGATAATTAACTCACTTATTTTCTAGTTTCGGTTTGACCGGCCTGCCTAGTGTAGCTGCTCCACTAGGTCCTGTTCTTCCGTAGACTCTCATATCAAAACTCTGGGTCGCAGATATACTCGAGCATCTAGGCAGTGTAGATTAGAGCATCTAAGCTGTATAAGTTAAAAAAGGTAAGAGCATCTAGCCAGAATATATTACATAGGTTCGAGCATCTAGGCAGTATAGGTTAGGCAGGTTAGAGCATCTAGACAGTTGTAGATTAGATCATCTAGGCAGAAAAAGGTTAATAGGTTAGAGCATCTAGGCAGAATATGTTAGATAGGTTAGAGCATCTAGGCAGTTGTAGATTTGAGCATCATGGCAGTATAGGTTAATTTAGGCTAGAGCATCTAGCCAGTATAGGTTAGATAGGTTAGAGAATCTAGTCAGTATATGTTAGGTAGATTAGAGTATCTAGGAAGTTTAGGTTAAATAGGCAGGAGCATCTAGAAAGAATAGGTTAGGTAGATTAGAGTATCTAGGAAGTATAGGTTAAATAGGTTAGAGCATCTAGAAAAAATAGGTTAGGTAGATTAGAGTATCTAGGAAGTATAGGTTAAATAGGTTAGAGCATCTAGAAAGAATAGGTTAGGTAGATTAGAGTATCTAGGAAGTATAGGTTAAATAGGTTAGAGCATCTGGGCAGTAGAGTGTATAGAAAAATCAAGCATCTTGTCTGATAAGGAAAAGAGATGGAAAATTGACTTTGATTTTTATATATAATCACTAGTTAGGCAAAAAACCATTTTTAACCAAAAACGTGAATTGTAAAGTGTAGTTGAAGTGAAACATACATGACACAAATATTTCTGAAAACAATCATTACATTCTTGTGTTAAACACGGTTGTGAAAGGGAGGGATTGAAGTTTGCAGCAGCATATTGGAATCCCTCCGCTGGAGCGGAAGCCACCGGAGGCCGAGGGAGATTATTTTCAGCGAAGGTAATGCACAATTATGATTCGATACTAAATACTCCAACGGAGGGATGGTAATTAACACTGGTGGTACGGAGGGATGGTAATTAATACTCCACCGAAGGGATGGTAATTAACACTCAGGACACTAACTATTCCATTGGAGGAATGGTAATAAACACTCAAGACACTAATTACTCCATCGGAGGGATGGTAATTAACACTGAGGAAACTAGTTACTCCAGCACAGGGATGGTAATTAACACTCAGAACACCAATTACTCCACCGGTGGTGTGGTAATTAACACTCTGGACACTAATTACTCCATCGGGGGGATGCTAATTAACACCAGAACACTAATTACTCCATCGGAGATATTTAGGTATTAATTAGTGTTCTGAGTGTTAATTACCATCCCTTTGATGTATCCTGAGTGATAATTGCAATCCCTTCGCTGGAGTAATTAGTGTCCAAATTATCATCCCTCCCCGCTTGCAGTACTTAGTGTCCTTAGTGTTAATGGAGTTATTAGTGTCTTGAGTGTTAATTAACATCCCTCCGGTGGAGTAATCAATGTCCGGAGTGTTAATTATGTGGAGTTATAAGTGTCCTGAGAGTTAATTATCATCCCTCCGCTGGAGTAATTAGAGTCCTGAGTGTTAATTACAATCCCTCCGCTGGAGTAATCAGTGTCCTGAGTATTAATTACCACCCCTCCGATGGAGAAATTTATGTCCCTCCGCTGGAGTAATTAGTTAGTTAATTAGTAATGTTTCTTTAAAACAGAATATTATACGGTTAGAAGGTTTGCTAGCACCTACCACTCTATTTTCTATAGAACTAATGAAAATACCTTCATATAAAATTGCATCGAAATTACGTCATCGCGTTTTAACATAAAAATATCAAAAATAGATATTTCACTAAAAGTTATTTTGATCAAATTTAGTTTTAAAATAAAATACCTGGAGGGAGCTCTAGAGGCATATCCATAAATAGATTTACCCCCCGCATATACCGGGTCTAGGCTAGATAGGTCAGATTCACTATACCCTGGGTATACAGATAATTATTATCATAAAATAATAATCAATATACAGTTTACCTACAACGCTTCTAACTTGAGCTGCTAAACTTTTAGTAGCTTCTGTAAGAATAAGACCAGCTGGAGCTTCATACTGCTCCCCAACATCTGTATCAGATTCAGTATTCCTAAACACAATAAAAATTATATATGAATATACAATTGGCTTAACCACTTCCGATTCGGGTTTACTTTAATTGTCAAATTTGAGATTTAAATGCCATTTTAACTATATATAGATACTGAACTCTATTATTTACATGTTGTAAAGTGGGGGATACCGCACGCACCCCTGACCGCGTCAACCTTTCACCGGCTAGTCCTATTTGAGTGTCTGCTTTATTTACCCAATGTCCGGGCGATACAGTACAAACTAGGACCGGAAAGGTTGATCCGGCTCGGAAATTCAAATGTACTACGGCTGCCCGTGACTGTTCAATTGGTTGCACGTTGATAAGGGGGTACTGTTCTATTGTTTACACGTTCATAAGGGGGTAGTGTTCTAAATACTGTGAAAGAGGAATACAATTCTATTGTTTACATGTTTACATATTGTACAAGAGGAATACAATTCTATTGTTTATATGCTTACATATTGTACAAGAGGAATACAATTCTATTGTTTACATGCTTACATATTGTACAGGAGGAATACAATTCTATTGTTTACATGTTTACATATTGTACAGGAGGAATTCAATTCTATTGTTTACATGCTTACATGAGGAATACAATTCTATTGTTTACATGCTTACATATTGTACAGGAGGAATACAATTCTATTGTTTACATGCTTACATATTGTACAGGAGAAATTCAATTCTATTGTTTACATGCTTACATGTTTAAATGTTGTTAAGGGGGGAGATACCGTTCTATTGTTTACATGTTTACCTGTTGTAAAGAGGAGATGCTGTTCTATTATGAGTTGTAAGCTTAGACGCAGGTCGCTGGGGAAGCCCTATTTAAAAAAAAATTGAAACAGTTATTTAAAGATATATTGAATATTTTATCAAAAAAGTTAATTTTGGAAAAGGAAAATCTTCTCTGTCTATAAAGTGTAATGCCTTCTATAAAATGACCCACCACCAGACCGAAGACAAATGGGAGTATTTTCATAGTAGATTTTAATAATTCATCAACAGTGCATATGGTCAATGTCAGTTTCTTTAAACTTAACTTTCAAAATACCAACACAATTTCGCTATGCGTGAATCAATTAATATATCGCTTTAAAATTTCAATAGAGTTACAAATTACTTCAGATATTGGCTGAAAGCTCTATGATGCTTGAACTTTTCTCGGTACACCGGGTTCCAGGTACCTTAGAACTGCATTGGCCATTGCATGATTGATTAAACATAAACTGCTGACCTGGGATACCCTCTACGTCAGGACTGCATAGCTCTGACTTGATCTGCCTTGAGTCTGCTTGATTTTGTTTAAATGAATAGGAAAGGTTGGATTGAGGCCTTTCTAGTGGAGAAACCTGAAAACAAACATGAGTTTTAAAAAAAATGGATAAAATTTTTGAAAGTATATAACTTAGCAATCTTAGTAAAATATAACTTTTGACAATATCAGGGAAGAAAAAGGCAACATAATTTTACATTTTTCATACAACTTAATTATTAAAAACGTTTACATTTTTTAAGGGGGGGGGTAGACAAAAAAATATTTACCCCTTGAATCTTCTTATCCTGAAAGTTCTTCTTAATTTCCGTAAGAAGACCTTCATCAAAGCTTCTTGAACCTCGAATACTCTCCCTTAGGGCCTCAGCACCCTGACCAGCCTCAGGGCCTCTGGACTCCGCCAAATCCTAAAATACTTTAGTTTGAGATATCGATTCTAGCTTCGGCGACTGAACTCGATTTCCAATGGACACACTTATTAATAAAAATACTTTCAATAATAAATTATTTTTTGACTTTTTACTGGTTTAAAAGTTTTAAAAAAGGGAATGATTTTTCATGAAAATACATACCCTTGCAGATAATGGATTTCAGTGAAGATATGAACTTTTTTATTTTGATATTTTACCTGAGAACTCTGACTAAGAACATCTGTTTGTGCAAGAGAAGGATCATTACCAAGCCTGAACCTCACAAATCCAGCATCATTAAACAGCATCGAGGAGGGCCGAGATCTTTAATTAATTAAGTAAAATACTAATGCTGATAATAATAATAATAATAATAATAATAATAATAATAATAATAATAATAATAATAATAATAATAATCCACCTGAGATTTGTGTACAAGGCGGTGTCCATGGTGGCGCTAGTATCTCCGCTGTGTTGACTAGACCGCTGACCGGCCTGTCCCCGCCTACGGGCCAACGTGTTTGTTAAATGTTGTCCACTAGCGGAAAGTGCAAGTGTAGCAGTACAGTGAACGTTCTGCCAGGGCAATTCATTTATTCTCTCAATTCTCATTTTTAAAGAGAATATGGTACCGTCAAAACTATTCTAAAGAGTTGCATGCCCGATAAACACGGGTACTCGTTACACCTTTTTCGCATTTCTTTACATCAAATTTTGTTTTGTCAATTTCCTTCTTTGTTTCTTGCTGCATAAATCTGCAAGTCATCTCTTGAGGAAACCCCGATTCAAAATAATGAATTTTCGAAAAAACAAAGAGATCTTTATAATTTTTGCTTTGACGACGATTTAATCTTAGGAGGGAACCGTTGTGAATGGACAATGGACATGCCACTTTATAAATCGAGGGCCACGTAAAATTACGCCAAAAAGTCATGTTAATAATAATTAACAGAAATATAATGAAAACAACAATTATAAATTAGAATAATTAATACAATAGATCGATTAATTAAGGAATATATGAATGAATTGTACCAAGAATTATGAATAAATGAATGTTCTTAAATCAATCAAAATATTAAACCAAATTATGAACAAACGAAAAATAAACGGCGATCAAAAGTATGTAAAAGAATTCAATCATAAATGAAAGGATAAATAAACGTAAAATTAAAGGTATAAATGATTAAACCCCCCTGGTTCTGTTCTGTTAGAGAAAGACTGTTGGATATCTGGTTGTAACTGGTCAGTGTCTGGTTGTAGCTGTCTGCAGGGTTCAGAACTCGAACAGCGTGGTTGTTAGAACAGATTTCTGTGTAAATTTCTTCATCCAACTATAGAGAATACAGAGTTAAAGTTAGAAATATTTTATTAAGATCTGTTAAACATCAAATCATACCTTTCAAACGAAAAATATTTTAAAAATTAATTTTAATATAAGGTTTTTTTGCGAAAGAATAGGAAATAACAAATTTCTCTTCTGAATATTCCGTATTACCCCCAAGCATTTCTTTCTTTTTCTTCAAAAAATTGAAAATGATAAAAAGAAACAAATGAAAAAGTTACTTGAGTAGGCGGATTTTCTCCAACTCCGCATTTCTGACAGTTACCCTCCCCACTGCAGCATAGGAGGGGAGAGCAGGAGCTGCAGCCCCGCCCTGGAGGAGCTGATCCATCCTGTCTTAAAGGAGTAGTTGCAACCAGGGCCAACAGGAAGCAGATCAAAATCTCTAGTACTCGTAGAGCAACCTAGAGAGTTAGGGTTAAAATAGCAGCTCTATTAACCGGTTAACAATTATCAACAAAATGTTTTAAGTTTTGCCTCTCTGAACCGGGAACTTTTGAATGTACGAAATGAGTAAATATGTCTAACCTGGTATCCATACCATGGGTCTGGTATATCCCTAGGATCAGTCCGTAATAACCCGTGCATACCGATCATACCGTACAGCTGTACACCGCCTGAAATCATTTCCCGCATTTGTAACACAAAGTAACACATATCTTATCTTTGAAAATAAACAATAAATAACTTATACATTTTTTATGCTGAACTCTAAATGAATTAAGTCTTTACCGCAAAATCAGATTTTTTAATCCACATATATTTGCAACCAGGGAATAGGAATAAAGGGAAAGGAAATTGCGCTGGTCTGGCATGAAAAGCCAGTCGCACTGCTTTGCAGACGAGTTCGGTATCCCTTACACACACTCTTTTGGTACAGACACACAACATGATTACAGTCAAGTAAATTGCAGAACAATGTCGTCAATTATAATTAAACTTGAATAACGAGTAGTTTATTGTAAACTTTAATCAAATTATATTCTTTGCATGAAAATTTGGCTTTATAGTGTTGACTTAAATATGTAAATAATATATTACATGTATATTAAACTTAGTTTTAAGTAATTAAATAAGAAAAAAAAACTGTACTCTCCTAGACTGTACAAATACCGAGATTCTTATGTACTGTATATACCTACAGTACACACCTTCGGTTTGGTATTCCTTACACACATTCTTTTGGTACAGACACGTACACACGACGTTTCCGCCCCCTGTTTACATTTCCAATAGTGAATTATGTAAATCTGTCCGATAAAATAATACAATTTTGAAATATCAAAAGTTTACACCATCAAGCTGCAAAGCTATTGGGATTTGAAAATTTAAGTTTGTGACAAAGACTCAATTACTTTTAATTAACGCTTATGATCGGAATCCGTTTAACTTCCTGGATCCGGATCCGCAAAAAAAGTGGATCCACGGATCCGGACCGACGCGAAGGGGCAAATATTAACTAAAACCTGATAAAAATCAGTTTGCTCTCAAAACACCAATCTCAACTGTGGAAAATTGAGCGATTGTTTTAATAATATCTAATCTCTGAATAGTTAGTAAATTTTAGCAAAATCACTTAAGCGAAAATATTTTTTAATGCTTAATTTTTTTAAGATTTCACTAATTGTAAAAAAAAATGTGCAGGGCCTCTATTTGTTTATGGCGGGGACAGATTCCAGATTCTTATCAAAATTAACATGATAGTGAATCCCAACTTAATCCACAATCCTATTCCTGATTTCACATCTTTCCTTAAACTGACTTGACCTACCTATAAGACTTCCTAGAACAGCAACTCCCAGAGTCAGATTTACAGCTCTGGAGAGAGGGTTGGAGTGGGTTGTTGGTAATCGCATAGAGTAGGCACCTAGGATACAAATATCAGATTATATATTTAGAGTAGGCACCTAGGATACAAATATCAGATCATATATTTAGAGTAGGCACCTAGGATACAAATANAGATGCACCTAGGATACAAACAATGGATCATATATTTAGAGTAGGCACCTAGGATACAAATAGTGAATTATATATTTAGAGTAGGCACCTAGGATACAAATAATGGATCATATATTTAGAGTAGGCACCTAGGATACAAATATCAGATTATATATTTAGAGTAGGCACCTAGGATACAAATATCAGATTATATATTTAAAGTAGGCACCTAGGATACAAATAATAGATTTAGAGTAGGCACCTAGAATACAAATGTCAGATCATATATTTAGAGTAGGCACCTAGGATACGAATAATAGATATAGAGTAGGCACCTAGGATACAAACAATGGAACATATATTTATAGTAGGCACCTAGGATACAAATAGTGAATTAAATATTTAGAGTAGGCACCTATAGGATACAAATAATGGATCATATATTAAGAGTAGGCACCAAGGATACACATAAGAGATCATATATTTAGGAGTAGGCACCAAGGATACAAATAATAGATCATATATTAAGAGTGGGCACCTAGGATACAAATATTGTTTTATATATTCAGAGTAGGCACCTGGGATACAAATAAGAGTAGGCACCTATGAGGCTAGGAAACATATAATTGATCATATATTTAGAGTAGGCACCTACGAATAGGATACGAATAATAGATCATATATTAAGAATCATAGATATTTTTTCATTAAATTGACTTAGGTGTTTAATTTATTTCAAACCATTTATCACCTTGGGAAATGTATTTATTGAGGCAGATACATAAATAAATGTAATAAAATTGTATGCAGTTAGCAAAGAGAATGTAGTAAAAAAAGCTAGTACATACCGGAACCGGTTTGGTCGTACATAAGCTTTGGATAAACAGATCTGTTCATTTCACACTGCTGCCGAGACACAACCTAAAATAAGTAAATTTTATTTTAAGAAGTATTTTGATTTTTAATGTTTTATTTCTGGAAAAAAATGTTTAATTTTTCCCCACTGTTTCTTGGTCATTTTTGCTCTCTAAAAAGCGAGAGTAATTCTAATGTAAAGGAACTGTTTACTCGCCTCAAATTCTATAAATTCTATTTGATCGAATGGTCAAAATAAGAAAACAAAGGATAATGTAATCAGGTTGCAAAGATAGATGAATTAGAACAAAATATAAGATAAGATAAGATAAAGTTTATTGCTAAAATAAATGTATCTGTATACAGATAGAGTTTACAATCACAAAATTGATGATTATATTAACAGTACAAGTATAAAGCAATTAGGTGGAAAATAGCTCTTGGCTGTTTTGATTATTTTTTCCACCTAAATTTTAGTAATAATAACAAAATATTTCAATTAAATAGATTTAAGGAGAACGATTAGAGATCAGGGTGCAAATTTATCATATGCAAAATAGTTTATACACTAATTAGAGGAAATTTTAAATTGTTACCTTTTTCATTGTAGAGTAGATATAGAAGTATCCTGCAGATAGGAGTAAACTCCACACAATAAATATTCCTTGTCCTAAACATTGTAGAGTAGATATAGAAGTATCCTGTAGATAGGAGTAGACTCCACACAATAAATATTCCTTGTCCTAAACATTGTAGAGTAGATATAGAAGTATCCTGCAGATAGGAGTAGACTCCACACAATAAATATTCCTTGTCCTAAACATTGTAGAGTAGATATAGAAGTATCCTGCAGATAGGAGTAGACTCCACACAATAAATATTCCTTGTCCTAAACATTGTAGAGTAGATATAGATAGAAGTATCCTGCAGATAGGAGTAGACTCCACACAATAAATATTCCTTGTCCTAAACATTGTAGAGTAGATATAGAAGTATCCTGCAGATAGGAGTAGACTCCACAAAATAAATATTCCTTGTCCTAAACAATTTGTTATAATATTTATTTCTTGAATTAGATGTTTCAGAAGTAAACAAAAATAAATAAATCCAGAACCTGTCAAAAGTGTGAACATTTTAAGATAAACTTTTAATTTTCTTAGTGAAAGGGGGGGGGGGTTAAAATGATCTTCTAGTATAACTGACCTAAGAGGAGAAGGTATTGTAGTTTAGTAACTAGACCAACTGTAATATCTAATGATATAGAGATTAGAAGATGAACACAGCAGAATATACTCAGAGCTCTGGGGGTCTGCACTGAAGGACTCAACAGTTCAACCTGAACAAAAAAAAAAGATTTTAATCAGTCCCATGGGTTTATCTTAATTCTGAACTTTTTAATTAAAGGTAGTATTTCATGAAAAAAGTAAGAGCTTCCAACAATGGCGTTAAGGCATTAGATTTTAGGAATGATATAAAATAAATTCATGTTCTTCTGTGTGAAGAGAAACAGTTGACGTGCTATCAAATAAAACCGGGTGACATAGCTCTATTACTTCCGAAAAGTCCACATCGCACGAGAGAGAAAGGTTTATCTTCATTTTTTCTTTATCATTATCATAATATAGACTATATAGCTTTACGGTTAATTAAACATTTAAAATTGCAAAAGAATTAAAAGTGTACAAACCCCTCCCCCTGCCCCCTTTTTTCTTTTATATTCCAAAAAATACCTGTGTAACTCTCAGTAGTGCTAGAAAGAGTATTGCAAAGGATGATGTTATACAAGGGTATCCTATATTCAATAAAATATACGCAATAGGTGCGTACAGGCTTCCAGCCTCATTATATGCATCCCAAAGCAGAAATACGCCACGGGAAACACCTGCAACGGACATTTTTAAAATAAAGGTCAAGAGATTTTTAATTTGCAATGGGAAAAAAATTCTGTAATAGTTTTGTTGTAAGCTTTGTTGGACAAGATTGAATGATTTTTTTAATGAAATTACCTACGACTAGCATACACAGGTTTAGAGAGAGAAAAAATCCACGAGAGAATAATCTTAATATTCATCAACATTTAAATTTCTGTCACTTACTCACGTATTTATCACTTCACGAATCCAACAAACAATCAATCAATACATCAATCAATCAAACAATCAATTAACCAACCAAACTACAACCAATCAATCAATCAGTTATTAAAATTAATGAATTATTTAATAAAATCAACCAATCAAGCGGTCAATCAAGCAATCATTTAATCAAACAAATATTTAATCAAATTATTAATCATTGATCAGTTATTCAACAGTTAATTGACGTCGAGACCAATCTAATCCAAATAATTTTATTTGAACAAATTTTGATGAATACCTAGAGAAAAGATTGAGCCTACAAATACTAATTGTGCAGTACAGAGCCAGAAGTACAAACAGTACACCTTCAAGATAAACAATAATAAATTGGAAGAAAAATAATTATTTCCATAAATAAAAAAAAAAACATCAAAAAACTCTTCCGTAGATAGAAAAAGAGAAATATAAACGTCCACTTTATGTTTTACTTAAAATAACCCTGCAGTATATTTACAAATCTTTAAGATCAAATGTATTTCATTTAAAACTAGCTGAAAGGGCCGGCGTTGCCCGTAGAAAAAAATGTTGAAGAAAAAAAGAAAGAAAAAAATTTGAGAAAAAAAAATAGAATTTTTTTAGCCTATAAAAATTTCAGAACAACAATTGGTCCAGCCGTTTGGCCGGCAATACGCAACATATACATATAGGGATGTTTTGTTTTATTATATAACTGACAAAAAATACATTTCTTATTTCTGATGTTTTGTTTTTCTATTTTACAATATTATAAAAACAAAAATTGTTCTTAAAACATGTCCAATTAACTTATTTATTTTTAGTTCCTGAGAAATAGATATGAGCCTGCCAAGCCATACTCCACATACTCTTACTCTTACTTGACCCAACACCATCAGGGGATACTGCAGGCTAAAAATAGTTAAAAATATTAGCACTAGAGGTCTCAGACTCAGTTAATAAAAGATTTTATTACATTTTTACTCTTCATTTTAAAGAAGATTAAATTTTTGTTTTCCTTATACACAAGTTTTTTCTGGGTTTTTTGAAAATGTATTTTGCAACGACACTCCTTAGTGATTAGCAACATAAAATTTATCTAAATGGATATAAATCTAAATAAAAACCCAACATAATGAGAATGAATAATGATGTAAGAATGTTTTGTATTTCGTAATTTATTAAAGGCATTACGTGTTTATGGGGGGCTCCAGATCAATGTTTTTTTAGATTGGCACACAGCCCCCCCCCCCCCCCCCCCCCCCGCCATGACCCTATTATACATTAAAAAAGCACTTATTTTACCTTTAATTCGCTTCAACCCCCGTTATTGCCCCGAAAATTGGGGATGTAAATTCTCGAACACGGATTGACTTGAAAATCTGTTTTTTCAATATATTTTACCTTTTTCTCCCCTTCAACTTGATCTTGAGGTTTAGTAAGTTTAGGAAGTAAATCCTTCTTGTTATAATACTCCTCCTCGGTCCTACGGACACTGTCAACCTTCCTTGGAGGTTCCTTAAAGGGATACACCGCGTTATTCTCCAAGAATTTTGTTTCCCGTTTGGGATGGAATGAATCGGGTTTGCAGCATCAAATAGTTTTTTTTTACAAAAACGAAGATATCTTTTTTTACTCAGGCCGGTTTTATTTCCTTGGTAATTCGATTATGGTATATTCAAAATAAAGGGATTACTTTTCAAAGTAGAAATTAACTTGACAAACGGATCATTGAATTCAAGAAAAACTTTTGTCTAAACTGCTTATTTTTTGTTATGTTCACCTGTTCCCTGTAATGATCCTGGTAGTCTGCTAGAAGATCATCCTGATCTTTCCTCCGTTTATCTGAACAAACAAACTTGAAAACTCCCAACAAAGTAGCTAAAGCAGTCTGTACAGTACACAAAAGTCATTCAGATTATATAAGGCGTCCAGTGCACCAAATGAATCAGCCCCTTCAAAACAAGATTATAATATCTGAGCAAAGTGTTTATTAATTTTCAAAAATGCAGTACACTTCTTATAAACAATGACAAATGACCAATTCCGGAATGGCATTAAAAAAAAACTTTGAAAAGGCAAGCTATTCCTATTTTCTTTAAAAATTGTGTGTTGTCTACCTTGTACGACAGGTTTAAGTGTAGTAGTTCTAGCCGGTGTTCTAGGAGGAGATCTAGGAGGACTAGGTGGATCCATGTCATTGTGCAGGGTTGGTAGATCAGCAGCAGATACTCCTAATATTTAGCTTTATACTAAATTTAACAAAATGACTGACATTTCTTCTTACTTTGAAAGTCAGTTTTATTTGATATATTTTCAAGAATTACCCAACTGAACAACACTTTTAAAAGTTTACTTTTTCACAATTAACCTTCAAATTTTAGACATAAAGATTAAAAAAAGTTACTAGCTATACATAACATTATGATGTAAGGTCTCCAAAGTTTCCAATGTTATGTGTAAACTGTCTATATAAAAAACATTCTTTTTTAGTGTCTATGTGATTTTTTAAAAAAGGGTTATCGTCCAATCAACATTGATTTGAATAGGAACGGGCACATATTTTTATTTTTTACAATTACCTCTCGCTACCTGATTTATTATATATTATTATATTTATTATATATAAATATGCATTTATTATATTTTTAGAACATGGAACAAACAACAATAGAATTCTGGAATATTTTGAAAAGAAGGAAGGGTTGGAGGCGGGGGGATCTGTCTTAAATGTGACCACTCCTTGTTTTTTGAAAGAAATCATTTACCTAAAATGTTGCTCATGTGATCATTTCCAGCTCCATAACCAAAGTGTTGAAGAATATCATTTGGTAGTTTAACACTGTTCATAAAACAAAATAGATATCAAAACTTCAATCAAAATTTATTCTTTGATCTTAGTCTAATTACTGTTTAATAATCACTTTTTTCCATTTTCATGGGGCTTTTGAATTCCATTTGGTAAATTTGGCTTAATTTTTTCTCTTTAACAAAACGGTGCATCGATACTTTATTTTTTTTTGTAAGGAACTTTTGTCTTCTTTTTCAATTATATAAATTTTAAATAATCCATTTTATATCCCTAATATATTTGTCTTCATCGTTTTTTCTGGGACTATTCAACCTAGAAAATATTCGTGTTAAATAAAAGTAAAGATGTTTACAAAACCATTTTCCCCTAAATCTCTCCCTAAAAACTATATCTCCCTGGTTAAAAATGATATGCCAGATTTAATATTTCTGTAATTTAATTTTTGAAAAAATTAAATAGTTTTGTGGGTCCTAGACTGGTTGAGCCCCCCGCAACAAAAAAAAACCAGAACAGGCTATGGGCCAAGCGGTGCATGAATATGATCAATGGAACGTATTTACATAATATTTCATTTATGCTTTATTTACAGGGCTGGATACTTTTTCAGACAGAATCGACACGGAAGATGGGGGAGGGGGGTCGTCTGGGTTGACCTACCTGGGTTGCCCAAGATCATCAGCTCTCTGCCAGTTTGAATACACAGGAAACTGGGGATCAGAGTGTATCTCTGTATCAGAGGGAAATCTGGATAAGTTTTCACCTGATATTCTTCATATTGATAATCGTCGAATGAATTAAGATCAACCGCCGAATTAGATTCATTTATTGAAGTTTTTACCTCTGAGACCTAAAAATAGTTATCTCTATCCTCACTTAATATTATCTTTTAACACAAGAAATTAGAAGAGAAGTTAAAAAGATTTTTTTTAAATTTAAGAATGTTACATTTCTGATTAAGGATTATAAATAAAATATAAAGTAGCAAGTTTTCGTATTGTAAATTTTATTTATTTATATCTTTCTTTCAATTCGACCTCTTTCATTCTCACTCTATATCTTTCACAGATCTGATATGCTATTTTATATAAATATCAGACATTTTGCATTTAAAGTTCAAAGTAAACGATTTCAAACATACTAATAAGTAATAACTCGCAAATTTTACGGTTAATTGAATGTTGAAATCGGCTGGGATTTATAAATTAAATGATTCAATTTACTTTTTGGACGATTTATTTAACCAAAATAAATTCATTATATTTTGTTTTGGATTTATATATTAATTTTATTTCAGATGTTATCATATTCTTGTTCATTTATGAAGACCCGGCCAGACATGATGATGCTTTAGCCTCCCCGCCCCCCGGCCCTGATTATATCAATTATTATATTTTTTGTAAAACCAATTTTCTCCGGGAAATCTAACTGTTTATGTTTAATTATCTCTCTCGAACAATACCTTGGTCCCCGGTATGGCGTAGACAAGGGGTATAAGGATGAAGAGGGGGAAAATGTAGAAAAACATTTTGAAAATGTTGTGGCCGTTTCTGGATAACAGGAGCTAAACCAGCCCTAGTTGTTTTCAACAATTCTCTACTCCATCTGGAATAAAATTAATGAAACGATCAAATCAATATTATTTAGAAACAAATAAACTCATCATAGTTACAGATAAATACAAAAACATTGTCGGTTTATTAGTAAAATTGTGTAAATTGAAATGCGCCATGTTTGTTGGAAAATTTACAGAGTCATATATTAGCCGCATATAAAGAACATTTTGATCTTCTTGTGTTGATGTGAGATCAGAGAAAAATACCCGCGGCGAATATCGTTGAAAGTTGTTTATCGAGTGTAATTTATTTATCTGTCGAACTTGGATTGGTATTAATACTATGCAAGAGCCAAGGGACATTTCACTGGTCCACAGTCCGCCCTGATTACCCCAGTACGCCCCCGCATATTGCATTTAAGGTTGAAAGAATATAATTTAAGGAATTATATCTAACTTTTGCTTCAGAAAAAAAGCAGAAATTATCAGAATTGAACACTTTTCTAGCCAAAATAAAAAAAACGTAATCTTCAAATATTTGATCACATGGTGCACTACCGCGAATTGTGTGAAAATTGGATATCGCCCCTTGATAGGAGGGTCTCGGAAAATTACGATTGACAGTCCCTTTCACACACTCACAAAACTATGTTTTCAGTAACGTAAAACCTTACTGTCAGTTCCGTATTTATGACTTTTTGTTAGTTTTGATTATGGGCTTTAAAGGCGGGCAAAATTTAAAAGGCTGTAAATGGCTGATTATTGACGCAAAGCTGTTTGGTGGATTTACACAGCTGATATAAAGTCACATGATTACTCCCGTCCAATCACAGTACTTCAATCTGGTCAGCTGACAGAAACGTCAGAAAAAAAAATCAATTGAATATTTTTCGGCCTCTTTGTGATGATTAACAACAACATATTTCACAATGTTGATGATGTTGTTCAGAAAATAAAACGATTGAAGTTACCAAAAAATGACATGTTTTTTTGACTTTACAAACGAAAAGCTAATTATTTTGATTACAGCATGATTAAATACACTATTTCGACAGACAAACATGTTTTAATCTTCTGTCTATTTACATTTCGAATTGATAAGGTTTGAAATAAAATCTTATCAGTTGGAATTCAATGGACCTCAGTAAGATTTGGTGAGAATTTATTGCTTTAACAAATATTTGCAAGTATAAGCACAGTTATTTCGCTTTTTCAGTTTGACATAAAAAACTTAACATTTTATGATAACTAACCAAAGATAATATATATTCTATTCTCTTTGTAACTAACTACCGCACTATTTATGGTTCTAAGCCCTCCATTGAAAAACGGCTGCTATGCTATTGTTTCCAGGAGGGTAGAGATTGAAAAAGTGGAATAAACCATGATTTTGTCTATTATTTACCAAAACATTTTTATGAATCTATATCTACTAATCGCCTTGGTGGGTAGATGAGTTAAATCGTTACCACTTACCCGTAATAGAAAATAATATTTTTCTGGATGAAGAATTAATAAACTAATTTAAAAGTGACATTGTACAAAATCTTACATGTTCTTTTTTTAAAAAGATACTCATTACTCAAATTACTTTAATATTTTCTAACTATTGAATTTAGACTTTTTTATTTGTTTTAACTTTTTTTAGGAAATAAATTTACATTTTTTTAAATCTAGCTTGCTCTTTATTTAGATTAAAGAAATATTGCCAATCAAATTAATTTGTTCCTTATTTGAACCAAAATAAGGAGAATATAAACCCTGATTTTGTTTTGGATAATCGATATATTATTTTCAGGGATAAAGATGGAAGCAGTGGTGAAGGAGGAGAAGTGGAGAAATATATGATGACAAGAGATTTCTTCAATAAGCCGAGCTTGTCAGGTTCATTAATGAGGCCAATGGCCGAATTTAAAGAATTTGAGCGGCGGTTTAAATTTAAGCCGCGGCTTAAATATGGTTGGTTCCACTTAAAAATTGTATCAAATGTTTCAAGATTTAAGCCGGCGCTAAATTTAAACCGGGTTTTGGCGGATTTTGGCGGATTTAAACCGCGGCTCATTTTCTTTAAATTCCATCTCTAGTTTTTTAATCTATTTTAAAGAAACTTTAAGGGACATGTTGAGGTTATTTTATTTGACCATGTGACATGTCCGAGTCACAATATGATAATAAATGGGTGACCTATGTTTTTCTCTTTGAAAAGGATATTCCGCAATAGTCCCTTTAAGGTCAAAAGGTATTCCAGAATATCTCATAAATCAAAAAAATAATGAAATGTTTAGATAAATATTTTTAAATAAAAAGTTCAGAGCAATTTTTTTTAAATATCAAAGTTAACTTTTGCCCCAAAAAGACAAAATTAAAAATTAATTAGTTTTTGCTTAGATCTTGGACCTAGACTGACAGAAGGAATTGCTGGAGGACTGGACATCATTTTACAGGTTAGATTCCTTTGCCTCAAATATCCCACCTTCCCTCTACACACACCCCTTTCCTTCCACCTTCCCTCTACACACACCCCTTTCCTTCCACCTTCCCTCTACACACATCCCTTTCCTTCCACCTTCCCTCTACACACAAATGTTTCCCTATGCTCTATAACTTTATAATATTGTGTTTTTTATGGGAAACACTTCCAAATTCTATATATTCAGAAATTTTCTTTATATCTAGCAATCCACACACCTTCCCTGGGGTCATGTGAGACCCAGCAAACAAATTGACGTTTATAAATGTATATTATCAAATCAATTATTTCAAACATGTAGTTTAGATTTCCATTCCCATCTGGCCGGGCCCCCTGTGTTGGGAATATTTGAAAAGGTGTATAAATGGATAACTGTAAATTTTGCCAACATTTTCAATTTCTTCTAGACATCACCCGGTATATATCGTACGATTCGGAGTTTTAAAAAAATTGTTCAATAATTTTATCTTAATGTTTTTTTTCTGCTATAGATATTAAACAGATTTTAAGAGATGCTTTTGTTTGAAATCCTGTTTTCTAGAAGTTTCTCGGAGAAAAGATCAGTGGAGATCTGAGAGGGACGGAGCGCCTTGGTATCCTTGGCGTGGGGGAGGTGCAGGGAGAAGAAGGAGGAGGAGGGAATGACGAGGAAGGTCTTCACGCTGGTCTTAGACATCTTCTAGGATACTCCAGTAGACAGTCTAACTACTACTACTCCAGGTTAGTACAAGGATACGTATTTTCTTGAAAAATAATTTTTTCCACAACCCTTATTTTGACAACTATCTCCCCCCCCCCCCCCCCCCAATGATGTATGTTTTTAGGGTTTCTTTTCACTGAATTGGAGGGGAGGGGGGTTGTTATAGGGTTAAAGTATCAAAAGAATGAAAAATATCACTAGTCATTTTTAACTTTTCCCAAAGCATCAAAAATTAATTTTATTAACGTGTTAGTTTAGATCATCTAATATTTTTAATTTTAAGTTAATATGAAAAAGTTTTATTATGTTTTATATTGATATAAAGTTGTAATTGAAATATTGAAATATAATACAATTGCAAGTAGATTTATCAAACAAAGTTTTATTATGTTTTATATTGATATAAAGTTTAATTGAAATATTGAAATATAATACAATTGCAAGTAGATTTTTCAAACAAAGTTTTATTATGTTTTATATTGATATAAAGTTGTAATTGAAATATTGAAATATAGTACAATTGCAAGTAGATTTTTCAAACAAAGTTTTGATAATCGCAAACCATGAAAGCTTTGAAAATAAGTTAATTTATAATTAAACATTATTTTAATAAAGTATAACAATGATTGTTTAATTTCTTCTTATTGATTTAGAATGCCGTGTCAGGATAATTGCTCGGGCCATGGAGAATGTCTCAACGGGTATAATTAGCTTATTCTTTGATGTAAACCTTTTCATATTTTTCCCAGATGTCTTATTACAAAATGTAAATTATAGAGATAAACGATTATATTTTGAGTTTTCTATATTTTATGTTTTATTAAATTTATATAATTTCATCATCTGTGCTATCATGATTATTGATCATAAACATAGATTATTTTTTATGGTTATCATCAATATGATGTTTAATTAATATTTAGATATATAAGTATTATTATTATCTTTACGTTTTGATTGTCATTAATGTCATAATTGTCATTATATTATTAAAATATAAATGATTATTATGATTACAATCAAAATTTTTTATAATATGTTTTTTTTATTAATTTTAGTTCCTGTTACTGTATGATCCAATATGAAGGTCTGCAGTGTGATATTGCTAATATTTTAGTTCCTGTTACTGTATGATCCAATATGAAGGTCTGCAGTGTGATATTGCTAATATTTTAGTTCCTGTTACTGTATGATCCAATATGAAGGTCTGCAGTGTGATATTGCTAATATTTTAGTTCCTGTTACTGTATGATCCAATATGAAGGTCTGCAGTGTGATATTGCTAATTTTTCATATCACGTGGCGTTCACATCAATATTCAGGTTGGTCATCGAAATTAGTCCCAAAGATATAGATTGGAAAATTAGAGTTTTTTTTATTATTTTCATTTGTTTGTTTTAGAGATTGTACATTCTTTTTAGATCTGTAATTTATTTGATAAAAGATAGGTATGTTCTGTTCATTGTGCTAAACTCCTAAAAGCCAAAGCCACGAATCCTTTAAAAATAGATATTAAATTATAACATTTTAATTTTATGTTTAGTTTGATGGCTCTAACCTCTCTAATACAGTTGGGGATGTGTATTCATGCTGAATACCTCAGGTGCAAATCCTTCGCACAGTTTTATGGGATTTCCCTACCTCACACTTCAAAAAAATCATACATGCCAGTATTGCGTAGACTCCGCATTTATTGTCAAATGGAAGTTTGTAAAAAAAAAATTCCATCTATATACTATGTATTACTATCGAGAATCATTCTAGAAAACATAGAAGACAAACGGACAGACAGTTAGACACAATCGGACAAGAAGTAGACTTGAAATTATTTTATCATTAGATGAATAATTTCGACTGTTTCAGGCAAAAGTCTCCATCCTTCTGCAAAGCATTGAGAATTACAACTCAAAAACTTCTTTATTTTCTCGTGTTTCTAGCTTCGAGTCTCAGGTAGGATATTTCGTATTTCGAAGTTCGACAGTTGCATATATTTTTTCACTGCCCTCCCTCCCCCCTCCCCTGGCCTTAGCAGAATGATTAATACCATTCTTGTCATAATGATCATCATGGTTATTATTACATTTATGATTTGTGTGATGATTTTTCAGCAAAATAAATACCCATAAAAGAAACATTTAGAATTTATCCAATTTATAATAAATACATAATTTGTATATTTCAGAGCACTTTATTTTGCGTCTCCCAAGCTTGATTCTAGTCTATCAGCTAGTCTTATGTCAGCATACTATCCTGTACTACTCTCAGGTATTATATTTACTATCCTTTATTATTATGATGTTATTATTATTATTATTATTATTATTATTATTATTATTATTATTATTATGATTATTTTTCTTGACCAAAATTTATTAAGGTAATTGGGAATTTAGATTTACATTTAAATTACAATTTAATTCATCTAACCTAACTAAAATTACAATATAAAGATGTTAATGAATTATATCAAGAATTGATATTCTATAGGGGCCTCCCTTGTCGTCTGCTTTTGGGCTGAAGTGTTCCATCTTGAATCGATCAGGTAATTCAGGCAAAGCCTTACAGTAAGATTGTAATTTAAAAAGCAACTGAGAAATGTCTAGTTAATGGTTTGTATTTTAAACATATAGATATATAATTTATATTTCAGATGGGACAGACCAAGATTTCTCTCAAAATCTTTTTTGGGTAAGATCGATTTGATTTTGCCCCAGATGTCATCAGAAGTTTCACATAAGTCAAGTTTAATGAAGGGTGGGATAATTTGCCCCACGTAACCAGGGAAAAGAAATTGAAAACAACATAGGCTGTAAATACAAATAAGTCGGCTTTGATAAAGGTGGGGAAATTTTGCTCCACGTAAAAAGGGAAATGGAGTTAAAAACAATATAGTGTGTAAATATTTAAGAAAACTTCAATATGCAGGAATTCATTTCAAATATTTTGATAAGCATCAACAACATGATCACTTCAAATTATCACTGGAGTTGTTACGACAACGATTCGTTTTCCCAACTTTTCTAGATTTCTTTTTTATTTCTCCTTATCGAATACTTTAATAATGGAAATATGATATGCAATTATTTAATTAAAAATTTTTATATTTTAATAAAATAGACATTCTCTATATTGAATGTTGCGAATGAAAACATTTCATACCTTTTATTGGGGGAATGGGGGGGGGGGAGATATCTTGAAATTGAAACTTTTCGGAATAAATACTTCTACACAAATTAGTAAATACTAATCACTAATACATAACAACGTCTAAAGTATTAACACTAATAGTTATTTAAACTCTTTTATTTTGGTTTGCAGGGCATTGAAGTTTTAAAAAGAAAATTGTCTCTCTATCTTGCCTTTTAAGATTAAATTTCTTCGTTGGGGGGGGGGGGGTTCAGTAATATGGAGTTTTTTTTTGTTTGAGAGAAGTTTCTTTGTTGTAGTATTAATGTTGAGTTGAAAAATACTTAGGCGTGCTTGCGGCCCCCCCCCCTCATCTTTTAATAATGGTTGTTGGAATCTATTTATTACCTAGATTACCCTAAATCCGTTGTAATTTTGTGTAAAAACAATATTAACCATATGTTTTCCCTCGAAAAAGTTCGCTTTAACAAAGACGACATCCAAATAAATTGTGGGTTTACAGGATCCATTTAAGGATAAGTATATGAACGGGAAAAGGGTAACATTTTCAGGGGAGTGTTGTGACAAAAAACCACTCACCCCCCCCCTGACCCCGTAAAATGCGTGCGTCGTGACAAATTAAAAATGTTATAAGTAATAGTTTGTGTACTTGTCTTGAAGTTGATGCAAGGGGTTTTCTGGATAAAATCAGCTAAATGCAGAAATATAAATTAATGAGGAATTAAAATTATATTTTTGTTTAAAATGAAGAAGTACTCAAATATTATATTAAGTAAATAATAAGAATAATTTTAGGATTTGTGACATTCAACATAATAACATATTCTCTGCTTATTGCTGAACTACTTATGCTTTGGTTTGGATACGAGGTATAAAATTGGGCTTTTTTATGATTTGATTTTAAATGCACATTTTATACAAATAAATATTATGCAAAATATACTACACTCTAAATCATAAACGTACCAATTTTTGAGTATAATGTCAAGAACTATACTTATTTCTTAAATTTTTGTGAAGGATGTTCAGTACTACACTCACATCTTCAATGGCTGCTATGCCGGACTCATGTTTATTGTTGTCGTCTTCTTTCTCATCTACGGAGTTGAAGTATTCTTTAAGGTCGGTATTTGTAGAAATTTGGAGAAATTTAAATGCTTTTGGGAGGAAATTGGAAGTTATATCTAATTATTTATTTCCTCCAGAATTAATAGTTCAGTGTCAAAAAAAACAATTTGAGACTATATTTGCACGTTCGACTTATTTTTATTTCTTTCGTTCATCGTTTGTGTACAACCCATTTTGTTCGTTTTATTGCAATCGTTAAAAAATATTGATTCGTGTGTTCTTAAAGTTATCTTTCATTTTCCATCTTTTTGTTCGTTTTCTCACTGAAGATTCGTTCAGTAAATTCGGTCGTTCCGTAAAAAACGATAGTTTTTTTTCAAAAATTTGTTGGAAAAATCATTTGTTCAGTAAAAAACTATCGTGTTTTTAAAATTTGTTCAAAAACATCTTTCTTTTGGTAAAAAACTATAGTTTCTTTAAATTCGTTATAAAGATTTTTAATCATTTGTTTTATTTCGTTCGTGTTTACAAATGATAATTTTTTCATTTCTCTGAACGTTCTATCGTTCAAAAAACAATGCCCATCTCTAGCTATAACCCACTATTTATTCGGTGGTGGTCAGTGTACTGCCACCGAAAGCTTACTTTAGGGGACTGGGGTCCTAGGTTTGAAGATGAATTTTAAGAAAATACACGACATTAACAACAAAATTTGTTGATAACAGGCTCATTAGACAATTATAGGGGTATTTATTTTTCAAAAAAATGTCCCACTCAGGCCTTTTGATTTCTGCATAAAGTAAGAGTCAACATATTAGAATATTTCAAATAAGAATATGTGTATATCAAAAAGTAGAATAATTTGTTGATTTATGGGAAATATTTGTGATTATATGTATTTGTTAAAAATGCACTGTAAAGGTGAGGGGAGGATTTACTGTACGAAATGTTCCAAAGATTATAAACTCAAGGAGATCTCCAGTGAAAAGAAGACAGTCATCAAAACAGGTATTATTATTATTATTATTATTAATATTATTATTATTATTATATCATCATCATCATTATTATTATTATTATTATAGCACTAACGCCACATTTAGTTTTTTCAAAAGAAAAAATTTTTATCTTATGAATAAACAAATTGAAATTTTAAATTAGGCTGTATTTGTACATTTTCATAAAAAACCCCATGTATTTCTTTAGGCCTTTAATATTTAATAGATGGAATTGTAAAAATTATTCAGAAAATCTATTTGAATTAGTATTTCATTATTGTTTAAAAATACTTTTTGAATTATCTATTAATTGAATTTGAATGTGTTGAAAAATCGTTTAACCAAAATTCATCTTTTTCTTCTTTAAAGATTGATTTGTAGATCAAATTCAATATTTACTGAGATTTTGATAAACAACATTTTTCTTTTTGTGAGCGTAATTTGTAATCTAAAATTAGACATTTATAATTTTTGGACATCAAGGGTCCAAATATGAAAGGGTAATTTGGTTTAGTTGGTGTTTTAATATAGAATGTATAGTTGCAGGTTGATGAACAGATTGACGAACAGAAACCAATGGTTGAAACTAAATTCTGCGGAATGATCCAGTCAACTGCTGCAATCAGCCCAGCTGATAAAATACAGGTCAGTATATAAAATACATGTACAGCTGATAAAATACAGATAGTCTGATACACTACAGACATAGCTGATAAAATATAGGTTAGTTTAGTCACGAAGTGCTGATCCGGATTTAACGGACCATCACAAAACGAAGCGATTGTTCATATAAAATCGTTTAAGGTCAGGTTTCCTGTAATCTTGACAGACCAAATCGATATTTTTTTTAATCAACCTTACTTAAGAAAATTGAATGAAAAACTATATATTTTTATACACAACACACATCATACATGTTTAATATATTTATTTTAAACTAATTTTTACTTGGATTACTATTAGTTTTTTTTCAGGGTTTTACGCAATTACAGGGAAAACTCCATTTTATTGTTTACAATTACATCATATTTAAATTTTATGAAAATTATTACAGGGTGTCACTCCTTCCATCAATACATCTCAGCTACACCAGTCAAGGTAAGCAAAAAATTCGACTACGAAATTTTTGGTGTTTGTTTTGATTACAACGATTTATCAGTTCATTTACCCAACCCTTCAATTTTAGACTCCTTAAATTGCATTTCATGTTTGTCTTGTCCTTGTTCTAATTTAACTATTCTCGGCGATCGTCTTAGTAAAAAAAACAACTTAGACACGTTTTTTTAAAGCAATAGTTTTTTTAGATTCGGATTGCTGGCTCAAGCTTTGATGATGATGGTGACTATTGGGTTTCTTTTCAGGTCAGCATAAAAAATTAAATCAACTTTTTGTATTCCCAATAAAAATGAACATAGAATTTAAGTTATGACTTTTTATGATCTGCACAGTATTTATTCGTGAATAATACAATTAGAATAGTTCAGATCGAACTTCTAGTCTTGGGATTTCAAAAATGTGTCTACTATTTCTACCTCCAAAATTGACGAAGAAATAGTGAAAGTAATTGAGTCTTTGCCATAAACTCTGATTTTCTAATACCTATATCTTTACAAACCCAATGTCGTAAACCTTACATGTTTCAAACTATGATTTCTGTTAGATCTATTAATCAAAGTTTGAAATCTCAAAGATTTACAACATCAGGTTGCAAAGATATAGGGATTACAAATTTTAGTTTGTGGCAAAGACTCAATTCCTTTGTCCAGATTTAAATTTTTTCCAGAACTCTAAAATTGTAAATGTTAAAAAGAAAAAAAAAAACTTTAGGAAAGCATATGCATGATGCAGATGCAATTACACCCTGTAGATATAATTGCAAAGTAACTCTGATGTTTTAGTCCCTATGTCTTTGCAACCCTATGTCGTAGACCTTTGATATTTCAAACTATGACTTCTGTTTGATAAAATGTTAGACTAAAATATTTGAATTTGTGGTGAAAAACCAGGGAGTAAGGAATAGAAGGGAGAGACAACTGACGCGGTTCGCCCTACCATATGATTATACATGCTTTGCAGACGGTACTCCATTTTATATCGAGCTGTTTGGTTTCTTTAGTAGGGCCCCACAGGAAAAATATGTATTGGCTCAATTTTCTTTCACCAGTTTCGCCAATACATATTTTTCCTGTGGGGCCCTACTAAAGAAACCAAACAGCTCGATATAAAATGGAGTACCGTCTGCAAAGCATGTATAATCATATGGTAGGGCGAACCGCGTCAGTTGTCTCTCCCTTCTATTCCTTACTCCCTGTGAAAAACTCAGTTTCTATAATTAATAAATTTCGTGTAAATCTGAAACTTTATAGGTACCTGATCGAAACATTTATGGGACACTAGACAGGCACCTCTTTTCACATACACTTCTCACTGACAATCCTAACCATATATTTAGTTATTTATTTATTTAAGTGAAACTTTATCTGAATTTTGGAAACTGAAAGTGGACTTGTCATCTAGAAATACCCATGTTGTTATCTTCAGGTACAACCCCCCTCCCCTTCCACCCCTCCTCTTAGGAATATTTTTTTATTGCTTATATATTTCCGACATGTTTAGAGTATTACATGGAGTATCGATTTTAATGCAAAATCTGAATTTCTAGGGCTAGGACATTGACTTGACTGTGTACGCGTAGTAGTTTCAAGTCACCGTCCATGCAAAGATGGCAATGTCCGATTTAATTTGATCTAGAATTAACATTTTGTTGAAAGTTCTGACGGCAAAAAAAAAATCAAAAATTTTTTTATATATTTTTTTCCAAATTTTTTATTTTTCCACGGGCAACTTCAGTTAGTAGCTGAATAAACTCGTCCGATTCACACCGCTACCCGTGAAAAATTTGTCTTATCAAGAATAAATTAGATATGTATGTTTATCTCTTGAAATTTCATCGTTTTCGATTGTGGCTTCTCTACAAACGTGACCAGCGCATTTTTCTTGTAGAATCAATGCTTGAAAAAGCTGGAAAAACGACGATATGTCCCACATTATTTATCATATAAAGCCTAAAGGTATAAAGGGAATCGTTGTTCATCGGACTTCCCCCTCTATTAACAGAGCCTTACTTGAATTCTCCACAACAGTCCTTTCAAAGTTTTATTGTTTAGAGTGATGGAGATTGGTATTGCTCTGTGGTTTCCATGTGTACTGTGGAATTGTATAAGGTGGGGGAATTATTTAATCATTTATGGAATCTGAGGCTTATACTTTTGAAGGGGTAAATACTGTATAGGTATTCTCACCCCCCCCCCCTGAGAAGGGAGGGAAATAAATCAAAATTTGGCCAAACAGGGAAGAGAAATATATAAAAGTCACACAAATATTTGTGAACAATATGTGCAGCCTGTGATTTTTAATGGATTGAAAAGTAAATTAAATTAAATAAATTTTGTCTTTAATGTAGACCTGAGCAGCTCTGGATCTTAAATCCTAAAAAACTGATCACAACCTTCAAGAGTAAGGATAAGATAGAAGGGACAACAGAAATACTTGACCAGGTTCAATTGTTTAATCATAAGCTAGAACATGTCTTTTTTATTTTAAAAAATTACATTTTTTATCTTTTAAGAAATTATCAATGTATGCTAAAGAATGAAAATAATGGTTCCCAATTTGCCCAATGATATCTTTCAAATCTTTTTCTAAGAATACGAAGAATGGTTCAAATTTTGTTTCATTTGTTGTCAATCATGTTCTAAACCATCTTCATACCATATAAAAGGTTAAAAAAGTTCTGGTGTTTTTATGGCATCTTTTTTAACAAGAAAGGGTTGCTTAAATTACATTTTTAAATTACTTTAAGATAAGAAAAATCATTGTTAACCGGTCCGTTTTCAGGAGGATGAGCATGCTTCATCTTCTCGTGACTCCTCTACTGCCCGGAGTACAGGGTCGGAGGAGGGAGCAGAGTGTTGGATCTGTTATGATACCGACAGGACTGATGCTGGGTCTCTTATTCAGCCATGTGCATGCAAGGTAGGATAGATACTGACAGAACGAATACTGTGGCCGAATTTAAAGAATTTGAGCGGCGGTTTAAATTTAAGCCGGGGCTCAAATTCTTTAAATTCCATCTCTGGTTCTCTTATTCAGCCATGTCCATGAAAGTTATGTTAGATACCGACATGACGGATACTGTTTCTCTTATTCAACCCTGTGCATACAAGGTAGGATAGAAACTGATAAGACGGATACTTACTCTTCTTGTTAAACCTGTTCAGGGAAGAAAGGTTAGATACCGACAAGACGGATACCGACAGGACGGATACCGACAGGACGGATACTAATTTCTTTATTTAATCCTATGCAAGAAAGTTATACTGATAGTCAGTGCTTAGGATCCATTTAATTTTGATGCAGATCCGGATCCAGGTTATTTTTATAAAATTTACTGAATTTTTTTAACAAAACAGAATTTTCAAATTTGTTGCCTTATTTTTATGCCAAAACTTGATGAACCATTCAGAAATCAGGAAATTTTTCTAATATCTCTTTTTTCAATAGTTCAGATTTGGGTTTTGAGAGTAAAATTATTTTCTTGCAGTTTTTGGTTGATATTTTGCCCCTTAGATCCAGATTCGTGGATCCGCATATTTTTCGGGATCCGGATCCAGGAAGCCAAAATCTTGCGGATCCAACGGATCAGGATCCGGATCCTAAGCACTGTTGATAGGTCTTCTGATCTTTCAAAATTATGCATTTGAAGTAGAACAGTTTTTGTTTGTGTTTAAGATTAAAGGTTGATAAAATTTTGATTTAGGGAGATATGGCTGCTGTCCACCATGATTGCCTGAGAAGATGGTTGGTTGAAAGCTCAGACAATCCGGAGAGTTTAGTCTGCAAAGTTTGTAAACAGGTTTAATCTATTTATTTTCCTTATTAAACTGAAATTAAATTTGAGAAAAAAATGTAATTGGGTCTTGAAAGGAGCTGAGTCCTTGCCACAAATTCAGATTTTTTAAATCCTTTATCTTTTGAACCCTATGTCGTAAACCTTTGATATTTCAAACTTGTAATATTTGATTATAACAGAAGTCATAGTTTGAAATGTCAATTGTCTACAACATTGGACTGCAAAGATATAGGAATTAGAAAATCAGAGTTTGTGACAAAGACTCGATTCCTTTACGACATTTTTTGCTATAGGCGTATGAGGTGGAAAGAGGAAGTCAATTTTCCCTCTCGCAGGTATTTCATTGTCTCTAAATGATTAATTACAGTTAATCACAAGCTCCAAAACTGCTTTAAGCCTATAAAAATATATGGACTAAGGTTAAGTTTACTAAAAGCATCAAATAATTGATCAAATATTAGCATCCAGTTCTGGAGTTATAGTACTATTGATACATATTGCATATAGAAAGTTGAGCATCGTTTTTTATTCATTAGTTTCCATAATTTCATAAAAGCAAACTAATAAAAAGTTAAAATTTGAATACTGAAGACTACGTAGATTTTTGTGGAGCCCTTTGAAAGCACAATTGAATATTAATGAAACGAGAGGGGGGGGGGACGTTCCACTCTATACTTCGGAAAGTAATTTCTCATCTGGTCGCTTGGATGGTTGCTACGGCTCAGTTTCATTTGCCATAATATTTTTGCCATAATTACACTTGACATAATACTTTTGCCATAAGTAACACTTGCCAAAATGGTTACACTTGCCATAATTACACTGGCTATAATGGCAAACGTATTATGGCAAATGTAATTATGGCAAAAATATTTATGGCAAAAATATTATGGCAAATGAAACTGAGCCGTTGCTACAACATACGGCACCAATGTTATTTCTACCGAAGGACAATAAGGTTTCATCTATAACTTTCTAGGGATTTACAACACGGCATTGGATCGGCACAGCTGGTGTCGTCTTCGTTATGATGCTTGCTGCAGGAATTCAATCTATTAATACACATTACGCATTATACGACCATGCTTGTTTCCTATGATGTAAACTTTTCATTAAAAGAATTAAATTTATCATTTAATTTTCAATAAATCTACCCAAACCGTTAAACCAGTGATTTAAAGTCAATTTAAGAATTGAAATTAGTTGTTTTTCAAGATACAAAAGAACTTCAAGTTCTTTTTCATCATTATATTGAATTTTTCATTTCTTGCACTTATTTTCAAATTTTGACTTCCTTACTGCAAAAATACGTGGTATATTTTGAGAAAAACCCTTCAGTTAAAAGTTGTTATCAAGATAATGATACCGAATAAAAATGACGAAATACTTCCAACTTTTTTACAGAAAGAATCAATTATTCCGACACTCAGGTGCATAGCTTTCTTCTTTGTAGGGTACGATAAAGCACAATGCTGTCCCCCAATTTCTTTACGTTCGAACAACTAAACATTCTTTACGAAATTATCTTTTTCAAAAGATTCTTGACGAAATATCCTTAACGGTGCAAATATACAATAAATGATAGCGCATTGATTGATTGATTAATTTAAAGGGGGTTGTTGGGCTGCAGTACAGATATATTCAGAAGCATGGATAAAATGTTTAGCGGTTGGTTTAGCACTTCTTGTCCAATATATTTGTCTCAGGTAAGCTTTCTAACAGTTTGATGGAGAAAAAGAAAAATTAGATATTTTAATTCAAAATTGTTCAAGGTTTCTGGGTCTAAATACTGTGACAGCATACCAAAGAGCGAAGGTGTACGGGCTGAAAATCATGAACAGGAGTTTGAACAGAAATCCTGCTTCCACCAGTTTAGAGTCTAGAGAGTGCAATGGGGCCATCATCGTGGAAAACGCGGGAGACTGTTCAATTCCCGGGCCATCTGGAGTTAGCGCGTTCCGGTCAGAATTCGCTAGTAACAACTTTCCGCGGCATTTTCGCAGGGAAGCACCAAGTATTACTATTAAGGCCCAGTCTCATTTATAGACAATGTTAACATAGTCAACCTTATATTTACAGGTGTCATATTTATCCATGTGTGAGTTATAGTTTAGTAAAATACTTAATGTTAGTGCTAAAATTTAGCTATTTGGGTCCAATTTCAGTTCATTTTTCAGAGCACTTTTAAAATTTTTGACCTGATAGGCTTAGAAAGCCCAGTAAGTCATACAGTGATTTGTCAGAAAATTCGTATTTCAAGCGAAATAAAATTATATTTAGTCATTCGCTGAAAATTTATATTACTACCGATTTCTTTTCCCTGTGAATTTCTTGTCAAAAAAATACTATACTGGTTAAAAACGGTTGGAAGGAAGAACATCATTTGGAAACGGATTTGTTGGGCTTTATTTATTTAAAATATATAAAATATATATTAATTGTATTTGCCATATGTAATATTTACATTTATCTACTAGTATTAAACCGTAAATGTGCATTGATAGATACTTGATACTTAGACATTTTTTTCTCTGATATAATTGTAATTACAAAAACTAAACAATTCGAATTTTATTTTTATCTATCTACTTAAAATTTTAAAATCTTTTAAGATTTCAAAAGTTGACTGAACAATCCGTAACAAATTTGCATAAATTAAAGAATAAAGCCAAGCTTTTTTATTTAGGAATCATATTGTTGTTTTAAATCTATTTTAATTGGACTAATTTTAAGCATTGTGCGACGAGTTTGCTTACCTATTTGTGATGCGGACAATATTTATTTTTAAAATTTGTTGTCAGTGTTTATACACAGCTCTGTCGGTTTTATAAAGAAGAATACAAAGAAAACAATCCCCCATTTCCCCCGCATGTCATTTAATCATTCTTCTTTAAAATAATAATACTTGATATGATAGGCATTAAAAAAATTCCTTCTTCAAAAATAAAAGAGCTGTATTTACAAAAATATATGTGTATATATTCTTGAAGAAAGGTCTAATGTGTTTTGCTTGCTTGATATAAGATTACCAAAGAATTTATGTACATTGTACAGTGTACACTACAGTATACTGACAACAGAAGAACATCTTTGTACAAACGTAAAATTTAAGTTGTTTAATTGATTATGCATACAGTAGATCTTGCTTTATTTCTAGACCCCTTCTTATACATAGAATACATGTTAGAAAATCCACAGAACGTGAAAGTTTTAAAGTAAAAAAAGAACTGAATACAATCCGATGATTCCGATTAATTGAAATGTAAGCTTAAAGGTTTTCTTCTAGAAAAGTTGTTTAATGGGTACGTGCAATTACAAGTGACCCTCCATTTGAATAGTGGCATAACTGATTAACAACTATAAATCTTTATCTGATCAAGAATGTGGAAGACATTGTTTTTTCTAGCTTTAAAAGTGTTAAATTCCAGTAATTTTCTCTATTGTTTCTAAAGCTGAAATGCGCAATTTACTTCATACAGAAACCACAGTAGAAAATAACCATTTTTTCAAACAGAATATGTCAGATATCTCGTACATTCTTGATCAGCCAAAGCTTCTAAGGTTACCTTTCTTAATCGAACATTTAACTCTACAAATAGAGGGACACTTGAAATCACGCCTACAGTCTCTTTACACTTGTATAATCTGTGGATTAATGCATTATTATATTATATCAGCTATCTAATTGTTCTACATCCGTGAAATATATATTTAAGCAAAACATATCAATTATTTTCAATTTGATTTCTTCTGCTTCTTAGCAATAATTAATATTTGCAAAAATAATTCAATTAACAGAAACTAGGGGACTGACAATACAATTTCTATTGACCCTGAGGCTTCAGCAGTACTTAAAAACATGTCGTATATGTTAGAGCCATTTGCATTAAAATGGGACTGTTTGACGCTTTATATGCCCTAATCACAAAACGGCATTAGACCAAAAAAGAGGAGGATTTGTTTGTTCTTCTATTTAAAAATTGTAGTTTTTCTGTCTGAGTTACTTGCGGATTTATGCAGAAGATCAGTCAGAGATGAAAAACAGAATTTAACACTTTAAGAAAATAAAACTATCTACCTAATTATAATTATTGATAAAATTGTAAAGTGCACACTTGTGATTTTGGGATGCAAATAAACAAGAGGTTATTTTAAAAAGTGAAACTACGTTGACACTCTTTTTAAGGAGAATGTAATTTTCACTGCACTCTAGAAAAGGTCTATGCTAATTTTTCTTACATCTTTGTTAAAAAACAATAACATGTGCAAAACTAAATTGATGTTTTTTTAATATCTGTGAAACTTTTTTTGGCCCACCAGTCTCATAATAAAGACACGTTGTTATGTAAGTTTCAAATTTCATTAAAAACATTAAATTTCTGAATTTAAGGATTTACAGAGTCAGGAAAATCCCGAGAAATCAACGACGACTACGAGCATACACTATACAGCCAAAGAGGATTCTAGAAAAAAAATAAACCTGTTATCAATTAGCATTACACCCTAATATCAGTTTTTTTGGATTTATCAAATTAAACAAATATCCGATAATTACCAAAGGGCTGGACATTTTCTTGAATTTTACGCACGTTTTTGGTCGTCATCAAGTGATGATCGTCAACAAGAAAAGATCGTTTTTTTCATCCTAAAACCGTTCGCACCTAATTTGCTAATTTCTGATCTTAATTTCAATTTTAAACAATCTTTAACGGAAAATTCCATTCGATAATTAAAAAACGTTCCCCAGTAACGGCTCCCAGTCCTAGCGATGAATTGTATCGAAAACGTTTAACTGTAGATAATATATGTATTAGAATAAGAAAAGGATTATATATCAAAGGCCATTTATTTTATGATATTGGGATATAAACATCATGCTTTGTATCAGTTCATATTTGTCTCAAGTGGAACACAAAATCTTTATTTTATAGTTTACAGTTCAAATTATCTATTCCAGGGAAATGATAACAATTACGGGAAATGAGTGCCGAAATGTTTTATAAAGAGGCATTAATTAAAAACATTACATCGCGTAATCTAATAAAATCACGGGAAATGAGTGCCGAAAGAGGCATTAATTAAAAACATTACACCGCGTAATCTAATAAAATCACGGGAAATGAGTGCCGAAATGTTTTATATAGAGGCATTAATTAAAAACATTACATCGCGTAATCTAATAAAATCACGGGAAATGAGTGCCGAAATGTTTTATAAAGAGGCATTAATTAAAAACATTACACCGCGTAATCTAATAAAATCTGGACAGCCTTTTCTTTTCCGCCTTCTATGATTTCAAAAGGCCTAATATGTTTGACTTAATAACCTTATTTACTAAATGTATGTTTTATTAATAACTATATTTACTAAATGTATGTTTTAATAATAGCTAGATTTACAAAATGTATGTTTTATTAATAACTATATTTACAAAATGTTTGTTTTATTATTATAACTAGATTTACTAAATGTAAGTTTTATTAATAACTAGATTTACTAAATGTATGTGTTATTAATAACTAGATTTACTAAATGTATGTTTTATCAATAACTATATTTACTAAATGCATGCATTGTATTAATAACTATATTTACTAAATTTATGTTTTATTAATAACTATATTTACTAAATGTATGTTTTATTAATAACTAGATTTACTAAATGTATGTTTTATTAAACTAGATTTACTAAATGTATGTTTTATTAAAAACTAGATTTACTAAATTTATGTTTATCAAATTTAAAAAGAACTGAAAAGCTAACACATTCACAATCGTGCCATGACAAACAGACATCCAGCTAAATATATAAATAGATAAATTAAATGATGTTGCTACCTATACTCGGAACTTAATTTATTGAATTTATCTTTTTTCGTTTGGGATTAGAGACCAAACATGCCCTCATTTGAAGTTTGACCTTTTTCTGCAGGGTATCATCAATTTTGAATGATTGATCCTAAGCCGGCACTTATAAACTAGAGAATCAGAGTTTGATTCCCCGATTAAAGTTATCCCCAGACCCTGCATTGTATAACCACCACAGGATATCGACGAGTTTTAAATCTAATCAATAATAAAGGCTTGATCCCATGATTAACAACACAAAACAACCTTTCTAAACAATTTATGTTGTACTTATTGCACTTATTTGAATACAACAATAATGCACTATTAATAATACGCCAATAAATAAGGACGCACAATGAGTGCTATGCAGTCAAGACACACACAAGCGTGACATAAATACGTACATACATACTACTTTGGATAATAAGATATTACTGTTTCAAAAACCAAGGGTAATACAAATTGTAAGGATGAACGTTGTTTTTTTCAAAAACGAACAAACCCTTGTTTTTTTTTTAAAAAGCTAAAACCAATGAAGTGAAAGTTTTAAGCTTTATAAAAACAAAGCGACGTCACAAGGGCGTACACATAAATAAGTCTGGGGGGGGGGGCAAATAAGCGCGAAGCGAAAATTTTTTTTGAACTATAAACTCGAAACATTTTGCTTCTTGGATATTTTAAAGGTACACAGGTCAAATACAGTCCAATTACCTAGCAGGTACTACTTTACCTCTCCTTCAAAAAAAACTAGCAGAAAAAACAGAAAATTAATTTTTTCACGCTCCTCACTCTTCACTCTTCAGTTTCAGATTTTAAAAGTTTTATAGCTCTGAGTTCTAGGGGGGGGGGGCTGGTCTGGGGGCGCGTTGTCCCCTTTGCCCCCCTCCCCTTACGTACAACCTTGAGCGACGATATGTTTTGTTTTGATGAAAAACTTTTTTTTTAGATTTTACCCCAAGTATAATATATTGCGACCAATGCTCGATTCCGAAATTCCTATACTAGTATAACGGTTCTGACTTCAGGGTATGGACCATCTAAGTTCAAAAGATTTTAGGTTTAAAAAATAACAACTTAAAAATTTAGATTTTTTGATTTTTTAAATAATGTAAATAAATATTTTTTTATTTATTAAGGGTAGAAAACAAAGGTATTTTATTTTTAAGATTCTTCAATACGGACCTTGCAAATTAGGAATTTTATAAAATAAGCTATGAAAATGTCATATGAGTGAATGCAATGCGCACATTTTTAAACATTGCATTGATTAAAAAATAAATAGAAACAATGGGAAAGGGAATAATTAGATCCTAAAAAGGTTTCTATCTCTTTGTTACTAGTCAAAGTACAACATTATTAATACCCCTTGAAGTAATATGATATGTTTTAGAAAAGTCAATTTATTTTGTAAATTAATCGTTTTATGAACTGAACATCTTTTGTGGAACATAGAATTTTTTCTGCACATATATCTTTTGATACTTAAAATCCAGAATTCAGGATCAAAAGTACGGACATTTTTTTATTATTTTTTTTTACATTTTGTAAACCTTTTAAAAGTTGTTTGGCTTGAATTTTGCCCCTGCAAACTAACCACGAGGAGAAGGTCAAATTCAATTGATACTGTCACGGCTTAGTGACTTCGTTGCTCCTCTAGTTCTGATTTTACGCACATGTGTAAGATAAGCTAATTTATTCGGATACATATTATAAATTCAAAACATTTTGTTCTTCTCAATAGCTCTTCAATAAGAGGAGTTATGTTAAAACATAGTTTGACGTGTTGCAGCTGTAATGTAGAAAAACAACAATTCAAAATTATGATTTTATAAAGCTTGATATCTCATTAATTCAGACTAAGATTTTCGGAGTATCGTCGTGAATCCAACATGCCACTCATTTTTCCAACTATCTTAATCTGGTGTGAACTAACACATATTAAATATTGTTTTAGATAAGATGATTCTTCCTTTTATCCTTGTAGGAGCCTTTTTTATGCATGTTGAAACCAAGAAATATTTGATTGAAACGCTAGGAAAATCAAATTTATTTTTAATCATTCCAAATACATTTTTTTCAGTTTTTTCAAAAACCAGAAAAATATTTTTTTTTCAACGCAATAATTTTTTTATACAATTATAAATTCCTCTTTTTTTGAAAATTTTAATAAATAATTGCATTTTCTCAGAAATGGAAAATAGTACAACAGGTACATATTGAAAAAAACTATGGTTTTTAATCGAAGGATTTACATTTTCTTGATAGTTTGAATAAATTAAAAATTACAATTAATTTTCCCATATGATAACACAAGGTGGTTATATATATAATATATATACATGTTTTAATTCAAATTAATGATATTAATGAACCTTGTATATTATATACGATCGAATATACAGAGGAACCCTAAAATTCTTGAAAAAGACCGTTACTTGTATTTAAATTAAAATTCATTAAAAAAGTAATTTTTTTGTGTTTTAACGCTTAAAAACCCAGCAAGATATAAACATTTTTTAAAACCAAACAGTGCGGTGTTCCCTTGGTTCTACTAACGAGTTACCTAATTAAAATATATGACAAATCGATCAAGAGGTTCACAAATTATAATCGAATATATAAAGAGACAAACTCACTATGTTTACATTATAGAAGTACCGAAAATATTGAGAACAATTAGTTTTTACTGAAACACAAAAAAAAACTTCTTTCAGTAAAATACGATACAAAATCTCTCAAAATTTAACAAAACCGTTAATTCTGACATTTCACTGATTTCAATATTTATGTAGATATTTGTATTAATCTTTTTTTAAACTTAATTTCAGGTATCAGTGGATACGGAGAACACTCCTATGTTGGAAGTGATAAAGGAGAAAATGAGGAGCAAGGAGAAGGGATTGGAAGAGAAGAAGAAAATGTGGAAGAAGAGATCGGAGGAGAAGAAGGGAAGAAAGACGGAGGGATTGGAAGACAAGAAGAGAAGGAAGAAGGAGGTGAGGATGGAGATGGAAACGAAGATAATGACGAAGAAGAAGGAAAAGAAGGAGGAGGAGAAGAGGAAGAAGGAGGGAAAGAAAAAGGGGGTGTTGTGAATGAAAAAGAAGGGAACGGACATGAAGGAGAAGATTACAGTGCACACCCCTCTTGGCTTCAACGCAAAGGAGTTGGATTTAAGAATTATAAAGAGGTTTAACTAATTTTTAGTTTCATTAAACGAGTTCCAGAAACGATTCACAACGCTTTTTTGAAAACTTCAATATCAGAATCGACGGTAGAGACATTTTTATCTAAAATTGACGGGATGGACTTTTTGTTTTAAAACTTTAAAAATGGCATTAAAGGGAATGTTGGCGAAAAATGAAAGAAAGGTATAGGCAAACAGCGAAAAAATAATCGCTTTTGATCGTTACTAATCTTACTTCTAATTGTTGCGTCTATAAGGAGAAAATTGTTAAAAACGACTTATACTGAAGAACGTAGCGTCCATACAAATTCAGAAAGTTGCAATATGCGATTCGTATCGTAAAAAATCAATTTAATTTCAAACAAATCATTCAGATATTACAAACAATAGTCATCGATTATTTTTCGATGCATTCATATATAGTTAATATTTAATATTGGTTTTGACAATGCTTTGACGTGGCAGAGACACCTAGCGGAAAAAAGTCGTTTTAAGTGCATTGTATATAAAACAAATAACAAAAATTATGAAATATTTTCGCCGTAAGCCTAAACCCCCTTTCATTCTTTGCGAGCACTCCCTTTAAAACTTGAGACTTAAACAAATTCGGTTCAAAAATTCCTAATTATGGAACAGAGCTATAAATAATATAAATGTTTAAATATTTAGGGCCGAAGTTCTGCTTGTAGTTTAACCAGCTGGTCCCCCTGGGCACAAGCCAGCAATTCACCAAGTTGTTCACAGGTCTCATCTTAAAAAAGAACAATAAGCTGAATTTAATATTTCTGTTTGTGTCGAAATCTCAAGTATATGTAATTTTCACAGAACCCCAATTTAATGAGTGGCATGTCCGATTCACATTGGTTTCCTTTATCTAAATAAGAATGAGTAATTTTTCGTTTCAATGAAGTGATAAAATCTAACAATTTACTTCATTGTCTTTGATAGCATAAATTCTTAAATCACTTTTACAGAGAACCCAGAGTTAGAAAGAACTAATTTTCACTTAGAAAATTAAGTATTTCTTATTTATCATAGATCAGACAGAGGTTTGCAAGTAACTAGAAGGTCACCTGAAATTACATCTATTCTCTAAGTCCTTGTTGTATACGGAAAACTTTGAAATGTTTTTTAAATTTAGAAAAAGGAGTACCGAAAAAGAAAATGTAAACAAGGAAGAAAATCGTGCCCCCCTGTTCGATGTGGGAATAAGAAACTGAAAGAATTCCAGAGCAAACCAAGTAAGGTTGTAAAACATTCACCATTTAAGACTTTTCCACAAAGAAACCGAGCTCTTGCCACAAACTCGGATTTTTTAATCTATGCGACCCGATGTTGTATATCTTAGATATTTCAAACTATGAAATCTGTTAGATCATATAGTCGTGAAATATCAAAGGTGTTCACCAATAGGTTGCAAAAATAAAGTGATGAGGCATTTTAAGTTTGGGGCAATAACTGTATTGCAAAGTTTATGGTTGAAAAAATTGGTCTGTTTTTAAGGTACCTGCTGTAACTGGGGTGCCTGGGCTGAATGGTCGCTACCAGAACATAAATGTGTAGATTCACAGGTACAGATCCTCAGAGCCTACATTTGGGCTGGGTTGACTTTACACCGTGTAGTCTAGACTGGTCGGTACGATTGAATGTATATATAGTACAATTACAGTAGACCGGACCATGCAACGATTGGAGCCATGTGTGACAGCTGCGTCCTATATCAAGTTTAGGTTATCTCAAAAACAACAAAATATGTATAGCAATCTCAAATACTTTGGCTACTTACAGGTTTTTATTTCCTCACAGGTAGTTTTGTTCTCTATAGTTTATTTTTTTACAGATATCTTTTTTACTCATAGACAGTTTATTTACTTCACAAGTTTTTACTCACAGGTAGTTTACTCACAAGTCACAGGTATTTCATTTACATACAGGTGGTTCATTTACTCACAGGTAGTTCATGTACTCAATAGTTTATTTACTACAGGTAGTTTATTTATTCACGGGTAGTTCCTGTTGTTTCGCAACTATACCAGTTGCCCTAAATTTCAGTATAGGTATACCGTGTGGTGTTCCTATGGATCTGACCGGAAGCTGCTCTGCCTGACGATCTTTCCATAAAAAAGCTCATGATACGTCTTCAAGTTGTATTACACAGTTCAATCTATAAATTTAACAATGAATATAGATCGAAAAAGTATTATAAGCCACAGAAAAAGCATTAAGCGAGCTAACATTTATCAAATTTTACTTTCACATCAACAAATTAAAAATTAAAATTAAAAACTGTAGCAAAGATTATAATATTTGGGATAAATATCGATATCATAAAAATAATAAATATAAGATTCTTACCACATTGGTCCTCAAAACACTTTACAGTAAATAATCAACGTTGCGATAATATATATATTCTATCTAAACTAACTGTTTCGGGCCGACGCAATACAGTTTAAAACTGGTTATACAATACAAGATGTCCTTTCTTATAACATGTTGCATTTTCTCAATTTTCTTCATTGCTGTCATAAATCCAAAAGTGACTATTACAGAAACCAAAATTCTAGTAATCAGTTTCCAGATCCTTGATGATACAAATGGAGGGTCACATAAAACTACATCTAGAGTCATCTTGTTTGCCAAAATTGAAATGTATTGATTTTTGCAGGTTCAGAGAAAGAGAGTTTGTAAGAATTCTGATGCATCTTCTGGGTTTTACAGCATGTTAGCGTAAGTATTTTGCGAAAAACGAAATGGAGTATATTCTGTTATCCAATTGAATAGAATTAGATATCGATCGGTACTAATTTTTTTTTTCTGTTACGTATATAAGGATCTCAGAAATTACAACCTATAAATGTCGAATTCAAATTGATGCATTTGTGTATAGTTGATATTTCATAATATTTTTAACGCTATTTGATCCGAGCGTTACATTTGAAAATATGCATTTATAAAAATTCGAGGATTTTATGTAACGAAGACGAAATTTTCATATTTTCTAGGAATGATCGAAAATCAGCAACAGCTGTGAAAACAAGTTTTCGACAAAATTTTAATTTAAAATGATCTAAGTTTGACGTATCAAAGGTTTAGACCATATCAGGTTGCAAAGATAAAGGGTTTGACATTTAAGTTTGTGGCGAAGACTTAATTCCTCTCTAAATTAGAAAGACTAGACTGAAAAAAACGAATTCAGTTTTTTGACTTAAAAATTTTAATTATTATATCATTTGAATATTTTTCAAACATTTTTTTTATAGAAAATGTACAATTGAGGACTGTAGAAAAGGCCCAGGTCCCCTGGATGATACTGAAACTAAAATAATGCCAGGAGGTATCAATCATCCAATGATCAGAAATAAGGATTGTAAAAACAGCTGAGCATTGTCTTTGTTTAGTAAAACGTAATCAGAGGCGACACAATATTTTCAGGCGATGGGTGATTAAATTTAGTGTTAAAAATAAAACCGACTAGAATTTGCCTACTTTCTATTGTTTTGCCCAAAAATTTGTACAGGGATCGGGACGTCCCCCAAATTTATCATAGAGAGTGGGGGGGGGGTGTTTCCCCCACCGCCTATCTGAACGACACATTTTTTTTAACTTATAACGATTGTTTTATTTTGAAAACAAACAAGACGTTAATCAAATTACGTTTACAAGTTAATGAGTTTTATGAGATTTATTGAATCTTCACAAAAAAATTATGCAAACATCGCCACCTAAAAACTATTTGTTACCAAGAGGAACAAATGTAACATTTTTAATTTGTATTACATTTTTAATAGCGTTACATTTGGCTGGCAGTGCCTGGCGTTTAAATGAGGAATTTCAAAAATCGTCAAACCCTCGTCGCCGAAATAGTTAATCTAAGGGATATGCCAGGTTTCAAACTAGCACATTATACAAACATACAGACACACAACATAGATCCTTTAGAGCCCACAAATTCGCTAGAACCATGCATGTCACTGATCCAGGGGGGGGGGCTTAGCTCCATAGCCCCCTTCCTTGAATTCTCCTCTGATTATGCCGGTTTGTTTATTTATGTAAAATAATTTATGGTGTTAAGTCCCCTGCTGTGCCTGGTCTACCTGGATGGAATGGTCTACACCGAACAATATCTGCGTAAGCTCACAGGTACCAAAATCATTTCTTAAAATTCAACTTATTAATTTCAAATAAAAATTTTTGAACTTGACTCTTACGGTCGTCTTCCTACTCCACTTGCAGTTCAACGTATGTATAGCATTTCTGTTTAAAAACAAATACATTTATTACAATTTAATAACACCAAAAGACTTTAATTCTTAAAATTTATTCAAATTTTTTAAATTTTTTCTGAACATTAACATTATCTGAACAAGTATCTTCTAATAAATAATGGATCAAAAAAATATGTTGTCACTGGATAATCCCCTAAGGATGAGACTTTAGAGATGACTGCATGAAATTTACAAAGCCTTCAAACTTGAAATCATGGTTACGTGAAGCAATGCATGAACTGTCCTTACTAAAATCATGGTTACGTGAAACTATGCATTGAACTGTCCTTCTCACCAAAATCAAGTGAAAATGTTTGTATAATTAATTACAAAAAAGGCGAATCATTCTAAAGTTATCTTTAAAGTCGTCATCAGAGTCTCATCCTTTGTGGTTAACCCTGCACATGTAATTTTTGTTCTAAGGTTACAAGAAAGCGGGTATGTGAGAGCACAGCAAAATCTGCAAGTCCGTACGCAGCAAATCGTATGTAAGTAAACATAACAAAGGAACACTGAAAGGAGTTCAAGCATAATTTGTTTGACTTTTCACGCTTTGTTTTTATACACATTTTTTGCCTTCGCTTAGAAATAGATTTTGGAAACATTTATAGTATAATTTGCAACATTCAGTTTTGACTTTAAAAACCGCGAAGACGTGCAAAAAAAAATAGAAAAACCGACCATTTTTGCAGATCGTTTTATCTTTCGTGTCATTTAAAGGAATTGAGTCTCCGCACTAAAACTCTGATTTTTTAATTTCTTTTTTTGCAACCATATGTCGTAGAACTTAGATATTTCAAACTATGAATTCTGTGTGATCATAACATTTAAATTTCAAAAATCAAGGATTTACACCGTCAAATTGCAAAGATATAGGGATTAGAAGATTGAATTCATGGCAAAACTCAATTCCTTTGGTTTAAAATAAATAATTTATCTTGCTGATATTTAACAGATAGGAAAAAATTCAATGAAAAGTATTAGTTCCAATGTAAATAAATTTATTCTTTAAATTATTTATTGATTATGTATGTCCAAAAGGTTGACCACGTTTGTTACATATTTGTTACATTTAATGTTGTATTTTAATTATTTTTTCGATTGAAGAACACGATTTCTCTAAAAAAGTTCTAAAATATTTAAGACTAATTTGTTTTCTTTAATCCTCCTCCCCTCCATCCAATTTCTCTTTTTCTTTATGAAAATATGATATTTAACAACCATGGTTACAACCAGTTCAACTATAGTTCTTTTCTGCACTCACGGCCACAACAGATAAATAGTTCAACTATCCTAGACTAGTTTCAGTAATTTGTGTGTTTTTAACCCGGGGACAATTTTTTTCTAAAACTGCATAGCAAAACCAAACTTTTCTATGGGGATTTTTTAAATAAATCGGTCTTTGGAATTAGAAACGAATTAGGGCATAAATCCTATTGCTGGAGAATTCCAGTATTATCAAAATCCTCGTTTTTGGCATGCTTTTCATTATTTAAAGCCTTAGAGAAATAAAGATATTAAAAGGAAAAGTCAGGTGTTATTAAATGTTTTAGACATTTTTTAACTCTTTAAAATTGTTTTAAAAACTACACTTAATGCAAGATTTTATTTTTAACGGGGAATTTTATTTTTTAACTCATTTTGTTAAATAACACCACTTTAGGATGGTACTATCAAAAATTGAAATTTTCAAGAGAGAATTAACAATCTTAAAGCTTTTTGAGGATTTATTCATATTAAGACCAAAATTGGAAAAGCTACACGAAAAATGACAGCATATTTATCACATATTTTCCAGTTTAATCTGAAATTTATATTTCTAACTAGAAATCCTTCCCCCTTTTTAAGGGGTTGAGATAAAATGGCCGATCAGATTAAAGATCTGAAATTGATCTTGAAATTGAAAACAGATCCAAGAAAAAAAAAACAATGCAAAATAAAATATCTATACAGTTTGCATTTCTTCTCATCAATTATTGCCTTAATTCTTTACAAATTCTAAAAATAGATGTATTTTAAGAATTTCCTTATGAGAATTTGGTTTTATAGCTCCTTAGTTTCGCAGAGACAAGTAGTTTTAGAAAAAAAAAGCCCCAGGGTTGGTACAACAAAAAGTCTTGATTTCCTTTATTATCTAGGATATGCACTCTGGAGTCTTGTAACCAAGGTCACGGAGCAGCACAGGATACAGAGACGAAAGAAATTGTAGGAGGTTGTTGATTAGATTTTGACTAGTGAAAAACGGTGTTAGGACATGGACATGGACATTGGACATATTATAGACAATAAAACCATGAGACAGGATATTTTCATAGATAAAGACATTTCATATAGGTATGACATTTAAAAGATAAGACATTCATAAGCAGGGTGAAAATAATTTCTATAAAAAGAAAAAAAGACCTCGTCTTTGAGAATTGTTGATTCTCTAGAAAAATATCTTTCTATGAAATGTCCCAACACCGAAAGGTCTGTTGGATAAAAGCACTTTTAAAAACGTGGGAACAACTCTTTTTTAAGCATCCTAATTTCTAAACCAGAAAACAATCCATGAAAATTGAAGCTAATGAAAGTGTTTTTGTTGTTCTTATGAAAGAATTACAGAGAAAGTTTTGATATATCATATCTTTTATGTTTTCGCTCTCGCTTTTTACAGTTTTTTAAGACAACAATTTCGAAATTGGTCTTTTACTTTCCATAGATTATAGTATTAGAATAAATATAGAAGAAAAACTATTATTTTGCAAAACTCTTAACAATAACATTGCCTCTGAATAGCAATATATTTAGAGGTTTTTTATTAATTTGAATTCTAATTCGTAAATTTAGAAGATTTTTCTGATTAATTTCAAGCTAAATGGTGCTTTTTGAAATTGATACTATGATGATAATCTGAATTTTATATATTTCGCTTAAATCTTCTCCTGAAGCTATTTTAAATCTTGAAATTGATTTTAGCTCAAAATCTCATTTTTATTCTAAACATGAAAGTTATCTTTCAAATCAAACCTCTTCCAATTTTCACTTTTTCGTCGTTTTTTAACATTTTTTACGGCCTTAGTAAAGAATATATGAACTTGAAAACAAAAGACGGTTAGGGGGGATCTAATTTTGTAGAACAAAAGTATTTAAAAGAGGTTTTTCTTCTTCTCGGTTGAAACATTATTTTCCCTTCTTTCCAAAGCTTGGAGGCATTTATTTCAAAGTGTCTGCCTAGAAATGATTAGTTGTTATATTTTTTTTGTCTTAAAGTGTCTTGTTGTGGCTGGTCAACTTGGGGAGACTGGTCAACTCCAGCAGATACATGTGTAGACTCACAGGTAATATTCAGTAGTTTGAATAGGTGTGGCAGGTTGAACTTATTCTCTAGAATAGTAGTTCAACTATCCTTACCCACTGTTCGTTATTTATTGAATCCGATCTCGGATCAGGTCAGAAATTCAGTGTGCGTGTGAGAAAATTAAGTTATTATAAAGAAATTTTAACAGAAATTAACAGAAACAGAACAGCATTGACTAATTGATTTTTTAATTAATTGATTTTTTTAATTTATTGATTAATTTTTTACTAATTAATTGACAAATTAATGAATTTAATGATTAATTGATTTATTGAATAATTCATTAATGACTTTAACGATTAATTGATTAATTGAATAATTCATTAATGTGAACTTATTGACTAATTGATCAATACCCTGATTGATTATCTGACTTAGTTATAATTTGATTAATAATAAATTGATAAATTGATAAATTGGTAGGTTGATATTTTTAATGTCAGATGATTGGTATATGAAAACTGACTTTTTGGTGTATTGATTAATTGATTTATCAGGTGAAGAGAAAACGAAATTGTTTGAGTTCAGCCAATAAATCAAAATTCTCGGCAGCTCAAGTGTAAGTTCAAACCAACTAATGATTAAGGGCAACCATTTAGCCTTTACCTTGTTTTCTAAGACAAAGTTATGATTTACCTTGTTATATTGAGCATGGGTCAATGATGTTCTAAAGCACATAAATATGATTGTAGGCCCCAATAATCTAGACTTTGCTTGTCTGTCTGTTTGTTTAATAAACGTCAAAATGGCTTAACCGATCGGGCCAAAAGTTTGTGTCGGACCTGGCATGACCCAGGGAAAGGTTTAAAGATGCATGATCGAAATTTCAAAAATAGCCTCCATCAAAATTCGGTTTTAATTAAATTTTAAAAATTTACGAAATTTTTTATAAAATCCGCCAAATTTTTTTTATTGTTTTACAATGTATTCAAATAGAAAATGTTGACATACAATTGAATCTAAAATCATGACGCTTTGACATATTATAACTATTATTTAAACTACCTCTTTTTCTACAAGTTCATGTACTGTTGATGATTGTAAAGAAGGATTTAATCCTCCAGTTGATGCTGAAACTAAAGAGGTTAAAGCTGGTGAGTTAAATGAGATTTAAATAATTACTGTAAACCTAATTTTAATTGACCCTCTTTTCCAATGTATAGCCATCATTGCATGTATTGCTAACATAAGAGGCTTTAAATGATAAAACAAGCAACAAAAATGCGAAGATAGGTGTTTAATTGCAGAATCAATTAAAAGTTTGACTCCTGTATAGTTCCATGTTGCAACTGGTCTAGCTGGGAAGAATGGTCGACTCCTCAGGACAAATGTGTGGATTCAGAGGTAATACAAATTCAATACTAGGAATTTGAGAAATAGCGAGATGCAGTTAATTTGGTGGGCAAGCTAGTTGAACTAATTTACTTGTGCACTCTCAGTCACACAAGAGATGCATTTATACCATCGTACCTAGTTATTCATTAATTCCTACCTCTGGTCCTTTACAATTCACGATTACGTCGGGTTGCATATAGCCACAACATTTTTTTTTGTTAAAAATGAAATTATTTTATTATTGAAAAGCACATTTTAGTTCTACTTCATTCATTTCATTTAATATTTTTCTTAGATAAAGAGAAAAAGAGAGTGTGTAAAATCTTCTTTATCTAATGCTCACTCCAGAAGTCCAGAGTATGTTGTTTTAACGATTGTTTTATTGTTTTTCTTTGAAATTAAACAAATCTTTAGCATGAAACTTGAATACATATAAAATGTTATTCTTTTAATCATCCAACAAGTTAATACATAATATCATTATTTAGAATTTACAATAAACTAATTCTCCTGTAACAAGGGTTGAGAGGTACATATATGCAAATTAAAATTATTTTTCTTTAAAGGGATTGTTCAACTATTTCATGCGAACTATTTCAAAAAAACCATATATTTTATTTTGGGCACAACCAACCCAAAGGCCTTCCTGTATGCACAACTTTCTGTCTATTTCATTCAAACTAGTATCGAAAATAACCGTTAAATTCACAAAAAAATGCACATTCTCGTTCTTAGCAACAACTTTCAATATCTCCGTTTAGAATGTGTCCTGCTGAATTCTGTCAGCAGCATAGCAAACTTTTAGATCGGGAAACTAAAATAGTTACAGGTAAAACAGTTCATGGGTGGGGGCAAAATCTCTAGTTTGTAAATGCGGAAATAACAACAAGTGTCGTTAGAAAATGTAAAAAATCAAATTAACACTTTATGTTCGAAAACAAAACACAAAGTAAACAAAACTAAAAGAAACTATTTCGAAAACAATTACTTTCAGTTTTTGCAATTTAATGAAAGTTTTTGTTTAAAATTCATGCTTTGATTTTTTCCAGTCTAATTAAATTATCTTTTCAAATAAAGAATTACTTCATTTAATACCAAGATAAGAAAAAAAAGAAATAATATGATCTATTTTGAAGCTGTCAAAACAAATAATATTTATCTTTAAGTAGTACTAATAATATACTGAAAACAATAAGGAAAATAATAACCTTAGTTGTAATTCAGGGGTTTCTAAAATGTTTAAAATAATTTTGTATAATGTTTTTTAACAGTTACCTATATTTTAAAAATATTATCCAATATGCAAGATGCAAGCACAAAGTTTTGATCGTTCACTTTTGCTGAATTCTGTATAGTAGAAAGATTTATATACATTAAAGGGCAACAAAATAAGTAACTAATGATTCCATGTCATGCCTTTTTTTCGTGAAAATTTCACTCTCTATTTAGAGTCTGTAAAGAAATCATCATCATTGGAGTACTATTGGAGGCCCCCTTTCATTGGAGACCCCTATGGACGTCTCGTTGGAGACCCCCAGATTATCGTTGGAGACCCCATATTTTTGTTGGTGAGAATCTATTCGAGACCTCCATATTTTCATTGGAGACCCTAAATTTTCGTTGGAGATCAGATGAAAATATTTGGGTCTCTCACGATAATATGGGGTGTCCAACAAAAAAATATTGGGTCTCAAATGAAAATATGGGGGTCTTCAATGAAAATACGGGGGTCTCTCAAGAGAATTTGGGGGTCTCAAATGAAAATATGGGGTCTCCAACAAGAATCTTGAGGTCTCCAACGAAACGTCCAATGGAATCTCAAATGAAAGAGGGTCTCCAACGAGACGTCCATGTTGGTTTTCAATAGTACTCCTAAATTTATATAAAAAACCACATCAGAACCTCAATGCGTTAGAGAATGATAATTCACTTAAAGTTGCTTTGACCGTTAGACGGAAAAACGTCATTTAAATCTCATTACTTTTATAAATAGGAGTAAACTGTTGTACATGGAGTAGTTGGGTTAATGTTGGACCATGCAATGTATCGTGTGGGACAGGAGCACAAAAAAGGTTTCAATTATTTCTTTCTAAATAATCTTAGCTTTTCAATATTCAAACAAACCCTTTTTCGTAAATAATAAAACAGTTAAGATCTGAGACTTTGCTGTATTGATAGATTTCTTAGTTCTTAGAAACAAATAATTTATGATTATGCTATTCACATTAGTTTATTTCAATTAAAATAAATAGAAATAGAAAAAAAATTATAAAAATTGCATAATATAGTTAATAATGAAGGGTTAGAGAATGTCAAGGTGGAAACTACTGTACCCTGCAGTCCTGTCAGGGGACAAATCAGTAAGTTTACTTTATATATATATATTCATTTATTTATTGTTTTCTTTCACATTTTCTATGAATAACATGAACTTAGCTTTCTATATTTCACGCCAATTTATAGATCTTTTTCTTAATCCCAATCTATTTTAACCTGGGGCACACATTTACTAAATTTGAGCAACGTCCAAAGAGAATAGAATATATATTAGATGGGAATTTACTAGAAAAAAGTGTAAAACGGCCATTTTGTTGTACTGTTTCCACACTGCAGGTGTACAATACACATAATTATGCTATATAACCTTTTGGGCCCTGGAATATCAAATTATGAAATAGGCTAGTTCCATAATTGACCAATGATCATTTCAAATAGACTCTATGCCTTCCACTTTACAAATGCTGATTTTCCGTTGTAAATATAAATCAAATTTGATGTTTTTTATTGACCAAATTCATTTTATAAAGTTTATTTAACAGCTTTAAAAATTCGAAATTGAAATGAATAGTCTAGGGAACATACTGTATTAATTTACTCTACTGCATATAATTTGTCAACATTTACATGATTTGTACACTTTGAACTCCGTTTCAGGCTGAAAGGGATTGAAAAAATTCATACCGAGAGATTCTTTAGATTCCCCTCTAATTTATATATTCTATTCTCTATGGCAACGTCGCTGAACTGCCAACTACCAGTTAAAATTTGAACCACCGATTTAAAGTTAAAGATTCAGGAAGGATTTGAATCGTTGATTTAAATTTGAATCGGCGATATGGCAGTTCTCTAAATTCTGTCCCGGATCTTGGATCAGTTTTGTGAAAATTGATAAGGATCAAGTTCATAAATATTTCTGTAATTTTACTAACTTAAAAAAAAAATTTTAACTTTTGCATTTAAAAAAATAAAATATTTTTTGATGTTGTATTTCTAGGTTGATCAATTCTTTCCTGGGTAAGGTTCCGTATAAATAGATCCGCAACATTTTTTCTTGCGAACGGCAATTATTTATTTAGTTTAAGGATCATTTCTTAATCCTAGCGATCTTTCAGGAGTGCTATTAATAACTTTCATATCTGGTAATCTATAATTGATTAACAGTTACGGAGATTTGGCTTTTGTATTGAAAAAAAACAACGAGTTGCTTTAAAAAAGCCGTTTATAAATAACACTTAAAATTCCTTTTAAGACGGGGTTTCTTTCAGAATGAACTATCCCTGCAAAAAGTCAGCCTGTCCTGCTTCTGGTTATGGTAGAAAGTAGAATAATTGTATTATTTATATTTATGAAATACATTTATCTATTAAATCCATATTTTCGACAACACTTTTATTAAGTCGTTAAAGACTTCTGAATGGATTAAAAGATAATCAATTAATCAGACCTTAAGATAACATGCAGATTAAAAGTTACCAACAGAAAATTTAAGTTAAATTTTTTCAGTGAAATTTTTGATAAAAATTCGAAATAAAAGTATTGAAATATAAACCCTTATTAATTATTATTTTTCATGAATAAACATCAAACAATTAATTTTACTCATAATTGGCAATTAAACTAATTTTCTTACTTTATGAATTAGATATTTGATTCCTCTGTTTCTAGATTAGTGCAATCTTGGAAGCATACCAGAGGTAGCATAGAAGTGAATTGAATACAAAGTAAAAGAAAAAAATAACTTTTCCACTGACTGTTCGCAAACAAAAGTTGATACAATATTTGACAAAAAAAGTTGTCAACAAAAGACGATTACGCAAAATAGATTTTAGCGTAGTTTTTTAATGGAACTGATAACTCTCTTCATGTACGCTAATCCGTTATTCCTGATACAGAAGGAGCCAGTATATTTTTTAATAATTGTCGTTTTTTTTCTTTCTTTTAATCTTTCAAATTTTTAGAATATTTGTGTTTATAATTATCGATATAGCAGATTTTACCAAATTTATCAAATCGAAAAGTACAAAATTTTCAAAAAACGACGTTAACAAATCCACTTTTTTATTATCACTGTACCTTTGCAACCTGAAGTCTTAGAACTTTGATTTTCAAACAATCAATTCTGTTGGATCAAAAAACCAAAGTTTGAAATATCAAAGATTGCACAGATATAAGAATCTAAAAATCAATGACTGGAGCGAGTGTATTGTACCTTTGATGTAAAAAATTGGTAAGTGAAAAGTAAAGAAAGTTCAATCTTCATCAAACCGTGGATCTTGAAGAAAATGTTTCACAAACTTAATGTAAAGATGAGTTTTTAAAGGGAGTGTTCGCGAAAAATGAAAGAGGGTATAGGCTTTTGATCGCTACTAATCTTACTTCTATCTGTTGCGTCTATAAGAAGAAAATTGTTAAAAACGACTAATACCGAAGAACGTAGTGTCCATACAAATTCAGAAAGATGCAACATACGACAAAGACCGTAAATAAATCAATTTAATTTCGAACAAATCATTCAGATATTACACCCTATAGTCATCGATTATTTTTCGCCACATTTGTATACAGTTGATTTTTCATAATATGTCTTAATTGTTATGATCTGAGAGTTACTTTTAAAAACATTTATTCGAGGATTTTTGGTAATGAAGACGACATTTTCATATTTTCCAGGAATGTTCGAAAACAAGTTGCAAGCTAAATATTATTTTAAAAATAAAATCAAAACATATTAAGGACTTTAAGGACTTGTGGGACGCAATATGTCCAAAAAAGTTCATATTTTTTTTCTGTTTAAATCATAATGTTGTCCATTATTTGCAGAGATATGTTAGGGATGATATGGTTTTTGTTCTTTACATTGTTGAATGTTGCCTCTTCAAAGTTTTATTTAGTGGAAACAAAAGGAAAAAATTCTTTTTTTTATTTTTCAAAAGAGTTAAAATCACACACCTTCATAATCTAATTTAGTATTTCTTATGTCCTTGCAAACCAATAGTATATTTCGTATTTCAAACTTTGACAAAACCAAAATGTTTAAATATCGAATGTCTACGACAACTAGGCTGCAAAGATATGAAGATACGAATATAGAAGTTTGAGGCAAGTGTTCATTGTTATTTCTATTTTACCATAATTTAAACGAGTTACTTACGTACACAGGGCTTATTGGGAGGAAAGAGGGGTTAATGGCGGACATCAAAGACTTTCAAAGAAATTTAAACCTGCCATTTTAGGCACTATTTTGATATGTTGTACAGTAAACGTCTAACTGAAAATAAGACTACAAAGTTACATGGGTTTGATCAATAATCTGCTTCGGACAAAGTTTGATACTTTTAATTCCTTACTTTATCACATCATTACTTAGCTTTTACAAAAAAATAAGTCAATGGAGGTAGTCTTTAAATTCTTATAATTTGTTTACAACTCTGTAAATAAAAAATTTATGTAAATATTTCCTACTTTTTCCTTCCCTTCCTTTCTTAAAAGGTGCAGGTTCTTGTATTATTCTTGTAATATTCTTTAATAACTTTTTCATTTTACACTAAAATTAAAAAAAGGAAATTTGTTTGGTTGAATTATAGAATTTAAATAACTTTTTTCAACCATTCTCTCATTTTATATACGGAATTTAAAGATTGAAGATCATTTTTAAAGCACGAAAAAAGGAGACTTTTTATCTAATGTTAAAAAAAAAAAATCTCAAAAATAACTGAATAAAGGAGACTTTTTATCTGATGTTAAAAAAACGAAAAAACTCAAAAATAACCGAAAAAGGAGACTTTTTATCTAATGTTAAAAAAAAAAAAATCTCAAAAATAACTGAAAAAGGAGACTTTTTATCCAGGAATCTGATAGAATTCCGTTATGAGATAAACCTGTCCCCCCCCCCCTCTCCAGGGAGATTCAGGTCGACAGAAATTGTTTTCTAAAATTTATTTTTATAACTTATTTTTAAAAAGCTGTATTTAAGAAAAAGAAATTTGTTGAAAGGAAAGGGATCTGAACCCCCTTCTCCTGAACCAGTAGGCTATTCAGTAGGTAACAAAGAAATAAAGAAATATGTTTGTTGTTTGTTAAAAGGGACTGCAGATGTAATTTTCCGACATTTATTGTTAAAGTAGTGGCGTGTTTTATCCACCACGGCTCCTAAAAGCTTTGTCTGATCTAGAATGCATGAGGTTTACATCATTGTCATTTTGAAAATTAATTATTTTAAATTGTGGTTTCTCTATAAAGTGGCAGAAATTCTCAGTACTAAATACATTTCAAGGTAGAAATGGCCAAATAAAGGTATTACGGATAATGTTGTGAATCTAACATGGCGCTTTATAAATTGGAGTCACTTGAAGTTACGTCTGTAGTCCCTTTACTCCTGAATATTTAAAGTTTTTTGTTTTTATGTGAAAATTAATGAATTTTGAAAAAAAAACTTTAAGATAGCCCAATGTTAGACGCGTACGTAATTAGTAAGATCTAAGAAACCAAGAACCGTTTTAGCCCCTGGAGAACCTGCAAAGCCAGAACCAGGAAATGATTACAGTGATGATGGGGAATCAGAAGAACCTGGAGAGGATTACAGTGATAATGGGTATACAATATGCATACAGTACTTTTCTAGATACTTTTATTTTGGCAACACTTCTTTCAAAGAAACTTTTATTCACCAACAAGAAACCTGTCTTCGGTGTACACAGGCATGTCCAAGAAAGATGCGACTTCAGAGACGACTGTTCATTATTTGTTGAGTTATTTTTTACATTTATACATAGATTAATAACAATACAGATAAAACACTAGATTTTTTAAGATTTAGGGGGTTTTCGTTCACAATAACCCTGAGGCAGAAGCCAAAAGGCGTTAAGCACATATCATTCTTGTCATTTAACTAAATAGATTATCAAGTACAGTAGGTGGCAGCAGAGAAATGGATTAATTATGCATTACATCACAAGTGTCAAATATAACAAGGAGTACAATATTTTCTCCGTTTAGTTGACATGTTTTCCAAGATTAAATAAAAAAAGTGTAAAACAGGAAAATAAAGAACACAAAATTGAACTTATTTTACAATAAGATAAGCACTTCATTATCAATATTATTAATAATTTTGTCGAAAACATACAATTGTTGACAATTATGACGTAAGAATACAGATGTACTGAGAGTGTACTAATTCTACGTTGCCATCTATTGTACTTGACAATCTATTAACGTTCAACGCGGCATGCGCGTAACTCTTTTGGGCTTCTGACTCAGGGTTTTTTGTACGAAAAACCCCCTAAATCTTGAAAAGACGACATCTCTTGTTCTACCTGTATTGTTATTAATCTATGCATTCATCGAATTAAATCTCCGAATCTTCCTATTTCATGAGTTTGGGATCGTCGTTATAGTCTCAGTCATGTCTGAGTAACCTTGTACAATATCAACCTTAACCAAACCCTACTCAGTGGTGCCGGCTGGGGTCAACCAACTACAACAACCACAACGACAACAACAGCTTGGACCACAACAACAACTACGGAGTGGGTAACCACCACAACAACTCCACCACCTGTAAGCATTTTGTTAGTTATAAGAATGATCTTGATCGTGCTGTTAGAATAAACCCTCACATTTCGTTCGTAAAATCGAACTTAATGAAGCATTTCGGACAGGATGCTATGAACATAATCATTTGATAGATATCCCTTACATTCTCTTGAAACAAATTTTTTTGTGTTTTCGAGAGGCTTTCGGTAGATCGATATAATGAACAAACTGTTAGGGTTGATTCTAGCAATTTTGTATTAACCCTAGCCCTAGTAAGTAGCAGGCGACCTTCACAAAGTTTATGTTTAAAATGTACAGTTTTCATGAATAATTATAATAATACCATTAATGACGTGTTTGGATGGGCTGGTTTAATTATACTTTAATTATAACACTTTCATTATACACATTATACAGTGGTACATACAAATAATAGGACTTTTCAATTACAACTTAATATAGATCCACTATGCACAAACAAGGAAATAATCAGCTCTCAAATAAACAGAACATTTTCAGTAAAAGTATTCTCGTGGACTGTAAACTATGGGAGTCTTTGACATCCACTATTGGAAAAGGGTGTAAAACCCATTCTTGTAGACTATATTAGACTTTGATATCTACCATTAGCAAAGGGCGTCAACCCATACCCGTTGACTGTAGTAGACTTTGACATCCACCATTCGCAAAGGGTGTGAACCCATACTCGTTGACTGTAGTAGACTTTGACATATATCATTAGCAAAGGGTGAGAACCCGTACTCGTTCACTGTAGTAGACTTTGACACCTAACATAAGAAAAGGGTGTGAACCCATACTTGTTGGATGTTGCAGACTTTGACGTCATAGCAAAATGTATAAACCCATACTCTCAAAACTTTTCATGCTCGCTTTCAGAGAGGAGGTGATGGCTCTTCAACTGTTTTTTATTAACTTAACAACTAATATTTTTCAAATTTTTAGTGTGCATGGTCTCCATGGAACACCTGGGTGCCCGGTGGAACTTGTGGCGAGGTTGGGTTTGGTTCAAATATTATAATGGAATTCGAGTCTTTGCCACAAACTCTGTTTTTTATTCCCTATATATTTGCAACCCAATGACGTAGAGCTTAGATAATTTCAAACTAGGAATTCTGTCGGATCAAGTCATCAAAGTTTTAAAGTATCAAATTTTCACACCATGAGGTTGCAAAGATATAGGAATCAGAACATTTGAGTTTGTTTAAGTTTGAGAAAGGCTTATTTGCTATAAAAATAATATTGTTTTGCTCAATGCTCATGATCTTAAAAACGTTTCTACAGTTTTTATATCTTACAAAAAGTCTGATGCTTTAAATATTTAGTCAGTTTCACTTATGTTAATTCAAATGTAAACTGGATCTAACTTTTTTTGTTTAATTCACTTCAGAAGCTGATAAGGAACTCCTTAACATAGTTAAAGAGCAGATTTTTCCAATTCCCGATTTTACAATAATGATTCGATAAAGATAGTGAATGGGTAAATTGGCGTTTATATCAATAAAATGAGGATCGACATCTTTTAATTTCTGTTTTCATTTTAAAAAAAGCTTTCTGGAGAACACAGCTTCCCATTTTGTAGAGCTGTGTTTGAAATCGCATCTAAATAAACAAATAACCTTATTTTCTTGATCTTTTAGTATACTTATTACAATAACTCGATCGAATTGATGTCATGAAATAAAGCTTGTTAGAAATCAGAGCTTAAACATAAAGTCGTTATCCTTGTATCGATATAAACTCCTACCACATTATTTGATGTTGTTACAAAGCAAATAGATTTACCAAAGGTATGCAAATCAACTAATTTTTAATACATGGGACTGTACAATTGACGTGTCTCATGTTCATTGAACTAACATATAACCCAAATTGAGTCTTAAAGTCGTCTTTAAATTCCATAGTTTACTGTACAATCTAATGGAGAGTCGAACCCTTTATTGTATTGACAAACTCTTTAATTTAACATTTTTATTCTAAACTTTACTAATAAATCATATTTGAAGGTAACAGAGAAAAGGAATAGAGAATGTAAAGAAGCCGATGGAGGCCCTTGTGTCAAAGGAGCTCAATGCTCAGGAGAGCCAAACGAAGAAAAAACAAAAACTTTGGGTAAAATATTTCATGTTGTAAACCTTTGGCACTTCAAACTATCAACTCTGTGTTGTACAAAGATCTCCGATTAAAATATTAAAGCTAAAAGGTTTAGAGCCTTCAGATTCTGAAACAATTGTTTGGCAACAAGTGAAACTAGCTTTGTAAATCAATTTGACAACCAAACGGAAAATATGGAACAAAAGAAAATAGACAACATACTATAATACAAGAATTATTTTGCCGTTTTAATCCCTTCTTCTTGTCTACTCTTTGTACCAGGTATCATGTTCAATCATAGTTCAATAGTTAAAAAAAACTAGCTAATTAAGGTATTTCAATGCAGAATCCACTACGTTAAATACTGTATGATCTTATTGCTCTGTTCGTACTTTACACAGAAGTATGGGAAAAATAAATTTATTAAGCTCCATATTCTAAATTCAAAACATTTATGTTCTTCTCAATATCTCTTAAATACAAGGAGTCACAGAGTAAAAACATGGAAGCTATCAATTTAACGTAACATTGGACTCAATTTCTTATCCGAGCTATATTTTAGAACCTTGTTGTACCCTGGGTCCATGGAGTGAATTCCCTCCTACTCCAAACAAGTGCCAACCCTTCCAAGTAAGTGCATAGCTCCATTTTTATTCGATGGGAGGCATACAGATTTTTAGATTTAAAGTCAACATCCCATTGATCGAGCTAATCCCAATCGCACGGTTCATCAACATCTTTGTGAATATTATAGATCTCTTTCTACAGTTTTAAAATACGAAAAATTTAAACAAATTTAATCCTTTTATGTCCCTGCAAAGATGATTAAAAGTGATTAAAAAATGATAAGTTTTTACAGATTTTAATCTGTTTGAATTATTAAAATCACGGTTCATAAAAAAAGATATTTCATCGTTTGTTGGGATATTTGCAAAATAGACATAACCCAAGAAGACTTGAACTGAGTTTTTTAGTCGTTATTTCATTCTCAGGCAATCAGCTTCTTTCCATTTATATTAAAATGAATGTATTTTAGTCAAAGCGTTCAAGAGAATGCAAGCCTGCAGCTGGATATTCAGGGTAAGCAAATGCGGTCTGCCTTTTATGTATCTTCAACCTTGTTGGAGATATCAAACATTTGAAATATTTCGTTGTCATTCAATAAATTAGAATCTGGATAGAGTTTTTAATATCTCTGCAAATTTTGAAGTTGCAAATATTTATATAATCAAATCTTATAATCCAATTAGAGATCCATACGTAAAGGAATTGAGTCTTTTACACAAACTCTGATTTTCTAATTCCTATATCTCTGCAACCGAATGTCGTGAACCTTAGATATTTCAAACTATGAATTCTGTTGCATTAAGTTATCTTAGTTTGAAATATCAAAAGTCTACAACATCAGGTTTCATAGATATAGAAATTAAAAAATGCTAATCCGAGCAAAATTGAGCTCGAAAATACCGTTTGGAAACCTTACATCGTAAAATTATCTATTAACGTTTTAATAGCCCTTGTGATTGTGGACAACCTTTAGAGGAAACAAAAGATATTCCAGGTAGAATCCAGTTTATAATTCTAGATTTCATTCATTAACTTTCGGAGGGGAATTCGAGGAATATATATCAGGAACTCTCATGAAACTTTGTTTACAAATAAGGAAGGAAGATTCACGTTCCTCCCAGAAACTGCTGTACATTTTTTGTAAACAAATCAATGCAAGTTCTTAGTTTATTCCTTGGAAAGGAGTAAAAAGGAACATCGATTTGTACCAACCAGTTTGTTTTTCAATTTATAACACTGCACTGATTAAAATCGTTCTAAAAACTTTTCTGACAGCTGATATAGAGTTTTCAATGATCTTTTATACATGAAAAGAACCACCTTGGACTTATGAATGCACGAGCAATAATATTTTATATCAAATGTGATGTAAAAAATAAATTTCCTTTCCTGCAACTTTTTTTAAAATATTTTTTCCTGAAACACTTAATTTTGTATGTTTTGTTATATTTCATAAATAAATAATTACTTACTTACTTACTAGCTGAAAACTGTTGTGAGTTGAGTCCATGGAAGGAGGGGCCATGTTCAGTTACATGTGGTCCGGGCACAAAATCAAAGTTAGTGAATAAATTGAGTTTTATTTTAAAGAAATAATTTTTTATTTAAGAATATTTACAGATGATGTAGGATTATTCACAAAGGGTCTTCGGACTTAAATATTGACTTTATTCATGTATAAAATGATTTAGCAATGAAAGCTGTAAATTTAAATTTTGCAAACCACGAATGTAAGGAGTCGAATCCTTTATGATTAACCCTGTATAACATTTTTAGCATTCAATCTAGACTACAGCTATTATTTTTGTAAATGCCGAGTTTTAAGTTTAATCATTTTTTTCTTTAAGGGACTGTGAATGTAATGTCAATTGATATTTTAAACGTCGTATGTCCGAGTACCAACTGTACTATTTAAAAAATACAGCATCATTTTACTGTCTTAAAAAGTCTTTAATTCAGTAATTTGCGTTCGTCGTTTGTGATGCATAAGATCTGCTTCAGTCATTTTTACAGAGAAACCGCAATTTAAAATTATTAACTTAAAGACATATATCACCATTTTTGCTCTAACCAAACTTGAAAATGAAGGCACCGTTGTGCATCGGTCATTCCCCTATTTTAATGGAATGTCACGCACCTCTGCCCCTTTAGTAAAAGTAAATTTAACCTATATGAAGCATAAAGTCTGACCGCGTCAACCTTGTTGCACCGGCTAGTCCTGTCCATAGAGCTAGGTACAGTACAAACTGGGACCGGAAATGTTGACCTGGCTCGGAAATTCAAATGTACTACGGCTGCCCGTGATGTAACTTAAAAATACGTCAACGATTTATTTTAAAAAGGATGAAAAAATTCTTTCTCTTTAATACATATATCTTTAGAACCCGTGAATGTAAACCAACTGCAGCTGCTGGATATGGTGCTAACTGTAGTCCGGACAAATGTACTGGACCTACTAGGTCAGCCAATACAATTTATCCAAATTACATTTTAAACAAAGGAATTGAGACTTTCCTAACAACTCTGATTTTATGATTCCTGTATCTTTGCAACCAAAGGTCATAACTATTTCAAATATAAATTCTGTTTAACTTAATTTATTAAGAAAAAAATCAATACTATGAAATATTTTGTTTACAAATTTTAGACATGATTTGTAAATTTAATTTAAAGGAACCAAACACTTGCCTCAGCATATGATTTCACAGTCCTTTTTTCTTTGCAACCTGATGTTACAGAACTTTGATATTTTAATATTTGATATTTGTATTTTACGGCAAGTAATTAGTGTCATTGCACTCCTTAAAAACTTAATTGATAATTGTAAATCAAAAATTAATTTTCAGTGAGAATGGGCAATGCGATGGTGGCCCTTGTCCAAGTAAGTTGAATTAGTTTTATAGATTATTTATTTGCATTCTTGAGAGAGAGGGGCATACAATACAGATAAAAATTTGGTTTGCTTTCAACTATAAATTCTTTTTCTGAAAACCCTTGATACGAATATTAATGTTTTTAAACAAAAACAACTAATCACTCTTGGATCGAGGTCAAAAAAACGTTCCAGTAACTCTTCATGAATTTGATCTCATTCCTTATGTATAGATCGGAGTAATAACAATTCATTTTTTTATATTTTTAGCTGAAGCACCAAAATGGGGCAGAAGAAAGTAGACTGTTGGAAAAATTAACTCGTGAAAACATATATCTTTTATCAAAATTAAATATACTATCTTTTAAATAAATCTTTAAAATATACATTCAAGATTTTGAATATTATACTAAAATTGATGGTGTTATTCTTCTTTGGTAACTTGATGGCATTAAATCTTCATCAGGCCTCAATCTTGCCGGAGAAAAGACTTCAAGCAACATACATGAGTCATTGTTTAAATTTTCTCATTATTTGACTAGAAAATCATACACACTGGACCAGAGTGACCGCAAGGTTTAAACTTCTTCTTAACAACTTTATTCAATACTAAAAGAACAAATGAACAATAGTATATATCATTTGCAAAAAGTGGAGAGAAAAATTTTCTCATTATAACTTCGTATCATTGCTGTAATATACTGCTTTTCGCAGAGCTTTCCAATGATTATGGTCTAATCAAAAACATTATCGAATAATAATTTTGCAAGCGAAGTTGCAGACTTTTCATCTTTAATTTATAACGTAGGTGCAATGAAATGACTTTACACTTATATGAATATATAACTATAAAAGCAAACTAAAAGACATATAAAACCAGAAAGCCGCAAAAAGACTTTTCATCTGATGTTAAAAAAAAAAAATCTCAAAAATAACCGAAAAAAGGAGACTTTTTATCTGATGTTAAAAAAACGAAAAAATCTCAAAAATAACCGAAAAAGGAGACTTTTTATCTAATGTTAAAAAAAAAAAATCTATATCATACATTTTAAGAATTTTATGACCCCTGCCCCTCCCCCCAGCTTCACAAAAAAATATACATTGCTCGGCCCAGAAATTACAATGACTCACGACAGAGGAGAAAACTTCCCGGAGGTGCTCGACGTGAGAGGAGTTTCTTATGGACATGGGCTGGACTGCTGGGGTACGGCAACAATGCAAAACTGGAGATTTTTTTTTAAAATTTTATTTTAGTAACCTGTTCCAAAATAAAAAAAGGAAACAACAAAGCTCCTCTTCTCTGAAAGAAAGAAGGCTCAAGCAGGAGCTTGTAACTTCAGGCTTTATTGAATCTCCTGATGTAAGATATACTTGTAATTTTAAACCATATGAATGTACAGCTGATTAGTGTTTACATTATTATATCTATTTATTTAAAGAACCTAGGGTTTCCACGAAATGGCTAAATCTTTTGCGCAAAATATGCGCTATTTTCGCGCAAATTTTATTTTTGCGAACTTTTGCGCTATTTTTGCGCATGAAACGCAATGAGTTTTGCGTTATTTTTTTTGCGCAATTTGCGCAAAACCGGAAATATTTTTTGCGAAAGTTGCGCATGAAACGGAATTTTAGTTTTGCACAATTTTTTTTGCGCAAAACCGCAAGTTTTACGCAAAATGTAACTTTTTAGGCACATTGTCAAAAATTGATATTCTAAGCTTAGAATTAAATACAAAAAAAATATTAACATACGAGTATGATAACGATTATACTACACTCAATTGGTTACTTCCAGTTACAAAAAGTTTAAATTAAGGGACCAAAATTAATAAAATAGAAATTAGAGAGTGTGAAACTTGGCAATATTATAATCCTATTAAATAATTTCAAGTGACCCGGCCTTAAAAGCTTTGCTTAATCATGAGTATGAATTGTATTCTTAAATTTTTTTAATCAAATTTCTGAAATCTTTTTAATCTCATAAAAAATAATGCAAGACTGTAACCAATGCCTGAAGAATCCACTTTTAGGAAATATGCATGTCCAAAACTAAAATTGTCGAGAAAATTGTGAGATTTGAACTCTTCTTAATTGTCATTGGTCAATTATGTAAAAGTTACCAATAGGAAGACATTCCAAAACAAGATTTTTCCAGAATTGAATTCCAAGAAACACACACCGTCACCAACCGTTTGATTTTTACGAAATTGCGGATTTGCGCAAAACTCTTGTTGCGGAATAGCGCAAAACTTGAGTTTCGCAAAAGCGGAATAGGGCAATTTTGCGCGAAATGACTTTTGCGAATGATTGCGCAAATTGTTGTTTTTTTGCGCAAAATTGATGGGCAAAGAAAGAAAAATATTGCGTTACGTTCCGCCAAAATTGCGCAAAAGTTTTGCGAATGGAAACCCTAAATCAAACCATGAGAATTCGAAAAAAATTTAAGTAGAATTTGTAATTTAGGCACAAAAGAAACCTGATAAAGTCAGAGCCAAAACTGCACGTCCATTTCTGAAAGAAGTGAGTTTAAAATAGCATATAAAGTATAGTTTTTAAAGATGACGTTTAAATGTATTTAATGCCTCATATATCTCTGGCTTCAGGGCGTGGAAACCCTACACCTTGAAGCCTAATCAAGGCCCCTACGGATGCCTTGGGGTCCACTTGGGAATTTCCGTACGTAAAATAACCCGGTTTTCCGGTGGAAATCCTAGTGTTAGAGCTGTTAACTCAATGAAACTTTAATCACTTTAGTGTTATTTAATTCAGCATTGTTTGTTTAATGGAACTTTAGAACTGTTAATTTAGTAAACTTTTTGTCCCTGTCCATCCAAAGGAGCTTTGGCATTGTTTATTAAATTGAATTCTATAGCTGTAAAATAATTGGATCTGTACTATACTGCAGTACCATCATTTATCCAATGAAATGTTTCATTTGCTAAACAATTGAAGTGCAACTTATCACCAATGAATATTTGACAATGCCTATCCCACAAATATGCCACCATCATCTTGAGGATTGATTGATTGAACATTTATGCGAAGTGTGTTTGGATTTGCCACTAATTGAATTGGTAGCTCAGGGACTACTTGAGTAGGCATGCACCCAATAAGGGTTTGAATCCTTAGAATCTGTGACTTCACATAGGGCAAGGTGAATTCTTTCTCCTTCACTACATGTAACAGGAGTCCAGCAACTGGAAAGCTGAAGGTGAAGTAAATGATGACATTACCATATAACTCTACAGATGGTTTTTCATTAACTAGAACTAACAAACCAATAAACCCTAGGACTGCAAAGCTTCCAATTGTAACCGTTTTACTTAATGAGCATTGAATATATTGCAGGCAGGAGAAGTTGAGTCCATCTTGATGGTTGGAATAGCATCTAACGATTAGGTTAGATATAAGGAATACTGCTAGGTTTAGAAGGAATATGATCATGTTGAATATCAAACAGTAATCGAATCCCTCGCCAGGGTTACAGTTTCCCAAATAGGCCTCAGTTCTTGTAAATATACCTAAACATTAGTAGATTAGGATTAATTCAGAATTTGCTGAACTTTACAATGCTTTTCGTTTGTATTTTTCATATTTCATATTTTAATAAAAACAGTACCTCTGTGTATGTTTATACAGTAGAATACAGTATAGACCCATGATAGTTATTGTGAAGAAGGAACTACGCTTCAGTCTCTCCTGGTCAAACTCCATTATCCTTTCATACTTAAACAAAAGTGTTTAATATCGCAACATAATGTTGCTTAAGATAAAGATGCAGTTTTTAGTTTTTTCTTCAGAAAAGTATAGCTATTAAAAAATAATTAAGTCCATGGTAAAAACTACTTTGTAATTTTGAAACATGTTTAGCTTAAAATTCAAGTCATAATATTTGGAAATTTTGTGTTGTAAATCCCAGAGATAATTAATTGATATCGAGGGACCGAGTTCTTATGTCTCAATTTTAAAGCTGTCACAGGTAACATCAAGCTCAAGTTTTGTAGATAAATGGTCACACCCAATTTTTCACCTTGTAAGGATATGATTTTTAAGACCAAGATTAATTTTTTTTGTGGACAATTAACTGAACAATTATTATTTAAACATTTACCTCTACAATGAGACAGAGTTTAAAGATAGAAGAAGTTTGATAGAGAAGGCATATACAGAAGAATAAATATATGTACATATATCTGGCAAGCATGGCAATGTACACTGGAATCGGAAATAGAACTGTTCTCCAACAACCAACGCAAACCTAAAGCATTTAAAGTTATAAGATATTTTCTTGGCTTAGAAAGGATTTTAAAAGGAGTAAACCGCTCACTTCATGAAGTGAGTAGTTCCTATAAAGTAAAAAACGCTGAACTGGAGACATCAGTGGTTTTTATGATCATTAATGTAAAATAGCAGAAATTATTTTGAAATATCAATACACGAAATTAGGTGAAAAAGATATATGGAAAATTAGGGAAAAAAAGATCATAAATAGTGCTTTTGCTCAAAAATCTTTTAAAAAAGATTACAATAAAAATCAAATTCAAATCATAAAAAACATAAAGTTTTTCTATTGTAAATTTTCGTCTTCAACCCCCGTTTTTTAGTGGAATTATTGAAAGGAGAGAAAAGAAATAGACATTCCTGATTCACACAGGTACCCTATGAACCTTTGACTGATCATTGAGGACAGAGAACTGTATATCTATTAAATGTTGAATGAAAAGCCGGTCTCAAAGTTACAGTGTATGTGTTAGCGTACTTTGTGAAGAAAATGCAGATGACGTCACGGATGCCCCTTTTAAATGAAAATCAATTGAAACTAAGAACTTTGTTTTCCTATACCAAAGTTTGCTGGTTCTCACTTTATGGATGATCTCTAGATCAACATAATTTCACAATCCGAATCCGGATTCTAATGAATCAAAAACTTACTGTAGGCAGCAACATTCCAAGGTAAAGGTAGAAGATGTCTTCATTGATTAGAACTATTAAGTTCTTGGCTTGATCTGCTGTACTCTGCTTGTGTTTCAGCAGTAAATATCCAAATAACAAAGCAAGTATCAAGCAAGTTAAAATGAAAAGGAAAATAAGAAGATCATTTCCAAAATCCAATTGAACTTTGAATGGAAGAAGGCAAGACTGTTGGGTATATGTTTTGTTCATCTTTAATTAAAAAGTATTCTAAAATTGGCTTTTAGCTGATGCAAGTTTATTTTTCAACTGATACACTTACACATTAAGCGTAATTGTTTCTCTCTAAAATTTTGAGAGAAAATAAATCTCTGGTCTGGTATAATCCTGGAATAAAATAAGCCTAGATTACATGAACAGAGCCAACAATTTAAAAGCTTCAATCCAGGTTTTAAATCCTTAACCACATGGTTGACA